GACTTCTGCTAGGTGACTAAGTGTTGGTCAAGCAAGAGAAAAGAAACAAATGAAGTACGCCATATGAATTGAACCCGGTATAATTTCTACACTGTACATAAGATAAGTAGATCCTAAATCACAACCAGACAAGCTACTGATGAAAGAGCAATCAGCACAGAATGATATCCGCCACTTCAAACTTGTAAATGCAGTTATCAACACCACAGATGACTGAGGGATCACTGAAGCAGGAGAATCAAACACAACAGCTGACCCAGGCCAGGAGAAGTTTACTTCATTTCCAAGTTATGTTGAGAAACCATTAATTCCAGCAATGGGAGAGGGGAACAAGAGAAAAGAACAGTCAGAGGAGCAGAACCAACAGCAAAATTAAACAGAGACAGGAAATGTCCCACATACGATCGAGCAAAAGACAGACCAAAGCTGACCCAGAATCATGCAGACCCCAGAAAACCAGAAGGAAACCCTCTTACTAAGAAGACTATGTGCTAACGTAATGAGAGACATCGCCTTAAAGCAGTGAAACCTTATTTTGTTTGTTGTTATTTCACACATTGCTTGAGTAACACACTATGTAATGTTGTGAGGGATGTGGTAGCCTATGTAAATTCGCACGCATTCAGTACCTATATCACTTGCATAGTAGATATTACAAAAACACATGCTAGTCACCCACAATAGTCGTACGCAAAAATCGTACCATCTAAATCTGCCTTTACAAAACCATGTTTTTCTCAAGTCCTCTACAAACTTTGTATTTTTTTGTTCCTGTAAGCAGCCAGCTCCAGTTACAGACACCTTTTTACACATCCCAAGAGTGTTAACTTACCCATTTATTTGGCAAAGTATGAAGTTTGGGAAGATGAGAATTCAGTATGAAAAAAAGCAGGACAAGTGACTGGGGGATGCTGGGAATTGACTGAGCCTTAACTGTAAAGTTACATTGTATTATCATACATTCCAACAATAACAACAGTTCCTCTGCTTAAACAAAATGAAACATGAAAAAATTGTGTGAAGATCACTGTGAATATTGGCTGCTGGTTACAGCTCTAACACATTGCATGTATAAACATTGTATTATCCGCAAACACCTCACTGGAAATCACCTGTATGGACAAGACAATTGATGAGTGCGAACTTTTGTTGCTAATTAACATGAACAAGAGTTTTTCTGGGGAGCATACCACGTATTGTGTCTAGTGCGCTTTTGGATGCTTCCCTCTCCTCCTAAACTAATTTTTTCGTTGTATATGTTTATGCTTTTTCTTACTGTATTGGAGAAAACTTTAATAAATAAAATAAATATAAAATACAAAAAGTGTAATGGCCATAAACTTTACCAACTGATGACTTAAGAGTTAATTCGGAGCAATAAACAGTTCAATAAGTTTGTTCTAAGTGACTTATTACTTCCGCATAAATCGATCTGTTGACCCTAATTTCAACACTAAAATTAAGTGTATGTTCTAATTGCATGAGTTATCAATTATAGATCAAAGAGAATCAGGATAGTTAAAATTAACTCAAACATTGTTTAAAGAAAATTAAATTACTTCGGTGGACAATTAAATCTTTTTACGTTTCCATGTTGTTGCTTAGTTCTGGTATAAGTAAACCAACAAAAAGCTTTTAAAGCGTAGTTGAAAACAATGGAAATCGACCATAGCTATTACAACAGCTCACCCGTCGTCAGCTTTTTCCAATAAACTAACGGGTTGAGATATTCCCGTCTCAGTAGAAGCAGTTCCATCTTTAGCTTCACCATCTTTTTTAACGGCTATTTCAGCGAAAGAAGTCTCGCTGCACTCGCTGGCATCAAAATCCGAGAACGACTCGAGGCCACTGACATGAGATGGAGGAGCGATGTCACTGAACGCGAACGACTCTTGAGAAAAGTTCAAATCCATAGCCATTACTTTGAGCTCTCTTTGACCTCAGAATTCATATTTGAAAAATCCACTTAATGATGTTGGCTATGAGCGTTGATGTTTACCACAAAGCGATCTAAAATAGCGATGAGGTGTTTTGGAAAAACGAAGATATGAATTCATCTTCGCGCCAAACCGCCATCTTTTTGTTCAAGTAAGTTTGAAACCGAGGCTGATCAGCCGCTGATCAGTTTTTGATCTTGATTGACATTGTGATTCTTATTACCTTACTTGGTCTTCTCACTTATGAATGTTAGGGAGAAAATACGTATTGATCAATGTCTTTTGAAGAAACCATCAAAGGCTTTCCACAAGCTGGTCAAAAGTGCGTCTGAGGAAGGATTAGCATTTTTCTGCACCTCTGGTCGAAGATATGCAAATAATTTTACAGCTAAGATCAAATTGATTGACGCCAGAAGCGTATTTAGTGATCGATTTGCATCTGTAAAAAGTTTGCATTCCATGGGATCCGAGAACGCCAGTCGATGGAACGGTTGATCAACAGAAACTGACATATCCAGCACTATTATGTCCACATTGTACGCCTAATAATTGTCTTATGACAGTCGTCTATTCTCAGAAGAGCAGAGATACTTGTTGTTGTGTGACATGTCTAGTTTTCAAGAAAGGTGTCTTTAGAAAATCAATCACATGGGAAATCTGGCTTGTTGCGAAAAGAAACCAGCATCTTCGGACGTTGATCTTGAAGAAGGACAACAAAATCCGACCTTGAGGTAAGCAGATTGGAACAAAATCTGAGATAAATTTCCCTGTTCTCGCGCAAGTTAGGTTTTGTGGGGTGGTCTAACTGGGTCTAAGCAATTACTTTTAATGGGATTATTTTCTTAAGGTGAAACGTTGCGTCGAACATTTGGATCCCTCAAAATGCGGAGATTTCTTTGGAGGGTAAAATTGTTGCGGTGTTTTTAATAAACCACAACATTGTGAAAAGATTATTGTTGTTGTTGGTTAATTTTAATGAGAGCAAATCTAATGTTCTGTAAAATTAAAAATGCGCCATTGTATTTGTTCCAGCTGACTGATGTTTTATCGGTGCATCGGTAAATACACTTCAATCAGCTTCAATGGTTGCGGACGTGTTTTATCTACGTTTTAGATAAGCTAAAAACATTTAGACATAAAAAGAGTACGATTTGAAAATCTAAAGCGTAACTGAGTAGTGATCATATCATGGATAATATCCACGTAATGGAAATCGCTACTGGAAACTGATAGTTATAACATAGCGCGCGTGCTCGCCCTATATAAGTCCTATTGAGCCGCTATGAACAAAATCTTTATTTACACACGACCGTGCGTAAATAAGATGACGTGAGCATTTTTTTTTAACCTGGCTGCAAAGTTGTCGTCTTTTAAGCTGCAGTGCACTTTTCCTTCTCTTTAAAATATGGAAGAAACCAGCGAAAAACTGCCCAATTTTTCTATCGGCAGTGACCTTTTAGGTCCTGATCCAACAAGCAGCAAAAATAAAGCCGAATTAAAAAAAAAACTCGCAAGTTGCGCGTTTCGCAGATTTGTCGAAGACCAGCTGCAGCAAATTTTGGCCGAAAGACATTCACTGGGAACAGAACAGACACCAACTGGTCATCAACAACATTTAAAGGCAAAATTTCCGTTTTTATTGTTGTTTTTAAATTTGTTATGCACTTTGTTATCTCCGGACAATCCGACTGAAGCAGGAAAATTTCTCTCGCAATAACAACACAAATTACACAAGAAGACATAAATTTATTACTCACAAAAACAACTGCTGCCAGGTCTTCTCAAGAAGCCGTAATGACCAGCCAATGTTCGTAAATGAATATAAGTTTAAAGAAGGATGACAGTCGTCTTCGCTAAAAACATGTTTTCTGGATTTCGCCGAGCAAAACGTAAACATCTTTTCAGCAAATCCAAACCATACTCCACGACTTCTTACGAACATGTTAGTATTTTAACTTTAGGTGAACTTTAAGACTCTTTTACCTTTGTTTCTGCTTAGTTTCCATTGATCGTTAACGAATAAAGAAGCAAATTTTCTTTCTCACTTTTACAGAAAGAATATTTTCATTCAAACTAGACGATTGTGGCGTGTTCGTAATCAGCCAATAGAACCGTTTGTTATTGTGTCGCGCGTTACGAGAATTTTGCAGTTAATCAAAAAGCAAGCATTTTTGTCAGCTATGTTATAAAAGAATTTGCTCATGCTTTTAGCTGTGCGTATATCGAGTTATGGATGCACTTGGGAAGTTTGGAGAGCACTCAAGAAGCTAGAGTTGCACTCGGCTATCGCCTCGTGCAACTCTTACGCATCTTTCGTGCTCTCCAAACTTCCCGCGTGCATCCATAACTCGGTATACGCACGCTAAGCATGAACAAATTCTTAATTAGATCCAATATACCCTGAATCATGTTGTTTGTACGGGCTTGATTGGAAAGCATACTATATCGAGATCGCCTTTACAATGTTTAATTTAGTAATGGCCTTCGCATATTATTCTGTAAATATATGAATTACCGTACTAAAATAACTCTTCAAATGATGATTTTCATATTATTAACTCCTTGAACAGTCAATTTTGTTTCATAATTCAATGACCAATAATTGTATTTAAAAATTCCCCCAAAAATGTATAAAGATATTGATTTGCAAATCCAGTTAGCAGTGCTCGTTGCCATCTGGTACCACCCCTCCAACTGCTGAATTTTAAACTCAGCATGAGGTTTTTTTTTTTGTTATTTGAGATTTTTCGGTAATAATGCAGCCCCCCCCCCCACCCCCAATGAATAGAAAATGAAATATAGAAATCCTACTAGTTATTAACTTTTTTGTTTATCTGTTATGTGGTTGCTGTTCCATCCTTTCAACAGTCAGAACAGTATTTATAAAATACTGAAAAATTTCATTGGGTTTTTTGTAAGAGGATATGATAGTCCCCCAGTGGCAGGTCGCTAATAACTCCAAGGGAAAGAGGTGTAGAAACCTTAATCTTTGAGAGTGGTATACTCAGTAGGCAGTTGGAGGTGCATATGTATGCAATCTCAGCTGTATTTTTGTTATTCTCCTTAATTAGTGATGTTGGAGCCAGCGACACATCATTGCCCTTAGTAGCAGATTCTGATGAGCAGAAGGCACCTTTAACCAAGGGGATTAAGGCATCCAATGAAGACTTTCATCTTTCCTTACCACAATATGAAACACCTGAAAGCGAGTTCCATCAGAAAGAGAAATCTCTCCCTGGATCTTATTCCTCATTAGATGAACTTTGTGGAAGAAAGAAAAACAAATCTAAGATAAGCAAGAAGCTCTTTGGCAAAAAGGATAATGATGAATCAGAGCGAGAACTGGATAAAGCTTCAAAAGTATCCACTGTCAATATTCCTGATGGAAAAGAAACAACACTGAAAGAGCATGAGGTTGACATTGAAATCTGCCCCATAGAACATGCCCCTGATAAAAATGAGCCAGACATTGATATTTATCCACTTGACCAAGAGGTTTCAATACCTGTGTCGTCAGTTAATGGCTCAGAGAACAAATCTTCTGGTAGTTCCAAAGGAGTCAGCGACAACATGGATGGTATCAGTGCTCCAGAAATTGTTATGTCAACAGAAAACCATGTTGACAGTAAAACAACAGTAACATCCTGTGATAAGCAGTCTGCTTCAGATGAGCTGTATAAACAGGTGATGTCAGGAAGAATAGATGTTACTATTCCTAACATGGCCAAGATTGTCAGGATATTTACCAGCTCCACGTTCACAGGTAACAGCACATGTTGCTCGGGAAAAAGTGGGGGGGGGGGGGTAGTCACCCTTGCAGCCGTTTTTGGGTGAGTTATAAGTAGGTTAGTAAAACTCTTTTTTAAAGAGTCGAAGGTGAACTTGTAAACTTGTGGTTGTCACTAGTTGTATCCAGTTGAATCTTTGAATTTTTGTAGCTTCTTTTTGCAATTAAATCATGTTCACGATTTTTTCACCATTGCCACCATGTTTGCTTAAACCTTTATGGCCAAAAGGAGACAAAATTGTTTACAAGGAGGCTCCACCTCGAGGTGCAACCCCTTACCCATTTATGTACCATTTTTGACAGAAAAGTTTATATCTCTCTACTAATTTGGAATGCTGCACCCCTTTTACTAGTAAGTATGGTAAATGCACCATCTTTTAAATATGAATAAGTCAGTAAACCAGGAAGTATTCTTGTCTTTTTTCACAGCCATAAAATGCCCCTGATAGCTTTTTTACTGTAGGTCCTTTCACAGACCACAATGACAGATTTCCCTACATGTTTTCATATATTTCTACCTGTACAAATGAAACTCCTACCCTCCCATATACCTGAAGCCCTGAGAATGGTACCCCTTTTGGGCGGAGCCTTACCGTATAGGCCATTATAGGGAGTACTCCCCTGGCTTATGGCAAAGCTTATGCTATGACATTGTGTAACTAATATCCAGTACAAAACCTAGTAAGGTAACTTTATCTTACTTCTACCACAGATACAAGAGTTGAGCGCAATGTACTGATGAACAGAGTGTACCCCAAGCTGAGAGAATTCTGTCATGAACATGGCTATGAATTCCATGTAGTGGACATGCGCTGGGGTGTACATGATCCCTGCACAGATGATCATTCTATTAGTGAGATTTCTCTCAAGGAACTCAGAACTTGCCAAGAGCTCTCTACTGGCCCCAACTTTGTGGTAAGATCCGTAAGAAATACATGTTAATTCAAGCTACGTAGTTATATACATGAAGCTGGAAGTTTCTCCCAACAACTCATACTCTCATTGGTTACTGCAAGGTCACATGACATCTACCAATGAAACTGTTTCCTACCAAAATCTCCGAGCGCGCAACACTGCAAAATCTATGAAATCAGAGGGTAACAGTACACTGTTACCCACAAATGTTGACCGATGACCACTGTTGAGCAAGGTTTAATGAATTTTGAGCTTCATATTAACTGTTTCCCAGGCCCGGTCATTTAATAAGTGTTAAGTGTATGACTTAATATGAACAATGTTGCCCTTAGAGAGTAAAGGAAGTGTGATTTTGCAAAAATTTACTTTGGTAAAATTGTGGGATTGGTTGGCATATTCAGAAAGAACTAGATGGAATAAGCCAGGGGCACCCAACGAGAATATAGTTCAAAACCACTTAAACATAGCATTGTTAAACGTATTTTAGTATTTAAACTGTAGATATAGGCATATTTTTATCCCCTAAAAATTTTTCATCTGTTCGGATTTCCTAGCTGAAAGTCTAGTGATCCGAAAATAATAGGGATTAAAACTTACTTTTTCGAAAATTTCAGCCAGGAAAAAGGCTCCCGAAAATTCTAGGTGACCTTTTTAGGGTAAAAATCCGTTAAAAATAGGCAATTATACCATTTTTACGTGTTCGAAAATCCTAGGAGAGGCAGGCAAGCAAGAAATTTTACAACAAATGTTTCGAAAATTCTAGATCTCAAATCGTCTTCCGAACAGATATTCTTCCGAAAATTGTCTTTGGGTGCCCCTTATAAGCCCCCTGTTAAAAAATCAGCCTGTTAGTGTAAATTGGTGGAGAGATAATTATGCATATCATTAACTGTTATGCTCTGAAGACTTCATTCAAAGCTTAGGGAAGGATAAGCTACAGATACAAAAAGTAGAATACCCTTTCCGCTTAACAAGATCAGCGTCATGTGATGTGGTCTTGTTTTCTAATCATACTCATCTGAGAACTTTGTCATGTCCGTCTCTCGCACTCCTCAGCTCTCCTCATACATGTAAGTACCAGAGGTAACTTATCGATGATGAATAATATCAACAAGCGAGTAATCAATGAGTAATCATTGGGTAATCAACTGATTAGTCATTGATTATTGGCCAATATTTAAGCAATAGACCACACTTTCTACGGGTTTACCGGCGTGATAACCCACTTGGGATGTTTGGAGAACACGAGAAAAGCTTGTAAATCACGAGCCAAAGGCGAGTGATTTACTTTGGCTCGTGATTTACAACCTTTTGTCGTGTTCTCCTAACATCCCAAGTGGGTTATCACACCGCTAAACCCAAAGAAAGTGTGGTCTAGTGCTTTCAGTTTTCTATGACTTTACTGGCACAATTAACTATAGGTTTTTAACCAATCAGAACGCGCGTACTATCTTAAATATTTTATAAATAGACTTAGCCAGGGCTAAAAGCGAAGCTCTCGATAATATACATGTATATACTGTAGTTCGTTCAAACAAAATATAAAATCGTGTCTTCTCTGAATGCTAAGCGGCGAAGGCAACGCTGAAAAACGGTGAAAAACAACAATAGGTCTAATTAGCAGAAAAGCAACTTTGCACGTGCAGCACACTTTTTTGTACATTTCTTTGCCGTTGTTTTGCACGACTACAACGTGAAACTTCCAGAAACTTAGTTGCACTTTTAATGGAGGAATGTCGTACGTGTTCTCGTTCACTTTTTTCACTGCCTCTCATTTTCACCTTACATTTGATTTGTGGCCGCTAGCATTTCTCATTTTATCACCGCCGCTGTAAAATTTTCATTCTCTTCTTCCAACAAAAAAATGTCTCCTTTGTTTTTTATCTCTCGCTCTAGATCTCTGTCGCCCTTTTTCTCGTTGAGTTTCGCTGGCCTCCCACTTTTTCTCTTTTTCTTTCTCTTGCTCTCTATTCCAAATTTGTGGACATGACAATTAATCTAAGCTTAAGACGGAATCAACCAGGAAATTGGGTAATTTTAATTTTGAGTGGACAAAAATCTTGTACCAGAATAATTTAAAGCATATCGCATTCATACTAATCAACTGATTACCCATCGATTACTTATTGATTAGTCATTGATGTCATTGATGTCATCGATTAGTAACGTCTGGTAATTAATCGTTTCTACCAACACTGACCGGAAAAAACCAGCAGGACATAAGAGAAAGTTAGGGCCCGTTTACATAGAGGTGGAGCACTGCAGGTAGGTGAGGCCGGTAACCCGCTCACTTGGGGTAAAAAAAATTGCCCGTGTTTGCATGCAATTATGCAACCCCGCCATCCCAGTGTGCAGTTTCTGGGGTCCCCCACCTCCATGCAAAAAAACCCCTTAGAATCACGATCACGTCATTTTCATCACATGACCAAGTTTTCTCTGAAGTTGTCGTTTACTGTTCATTAGGGACCTTATGATCCGATAACGGCGAGGTCCAAGAAAAAGTCGCTGAAAAATAGACTTTGCATCCTTTCACTTTTTTTCGCGATTATTCCAAGGGGCCCGGTTACTTAAGGAAGGGAATTTAGTTTGGAGCTGAAGAGAAGGGACCGCGCCCAAGTTCTTACAGAGATGGTAGAATTTATCGCCTTGGCGTTCCCATTCTCAAGTAAACTTAAAATTTGGCCATTTCATGTCGTAGTTGTACAGGGACTGCAAAGAAATGTACAAAAAAGCGTGGTGCACGTGCGGAGTTTTTGTTTTGCTCATTAAACCTAATGTTTTTTTGATGTTCCGGTTGTTGTCGCCGTTGCCGTCGCAGTTTCGTAAGGTTCCTATTATACAGTGGAACGTCCATTAAGCCGACACAAGGGGTACCGGCAAGTGAGCGCTTAATGGAGATTGGCCACTCAATAGAATTTCGTCATAAATCAGCAAAATCTTTAACAGAAACTCTACTTTATTTTGAAACAAACGCGTGAAAGAAAGAAGCTTCACTGGTCCACAATTAGTTGTCACCTTCTATCTCAGACTGTATTTTTCTTCATCATATTCCGGCTTAACATCAAGCCAAACTGAGTGTATCAAGCGCTTGATGGACACTTAAAAGAGGTGACAACAATGAGAGAACTTTCGTTGGCACCGCCAAAAGGTGTCCGCAGCCGTTTAATAGAGGTATCCGCCTAAAAGAAGTTTAATTTCCCATTCTTTTCTACACCTTTTTCGGAACTTTGGTTACTGGCCGCTTAATGAAGGTTCGAGGGATCTACACAAAGCCTGCGGCTCGTGTTCCACTTCTTTGTCTTTTAACACTGAACAGACTCACGGCAGCATGGAATCATCATTGTTCGTTTTATACAATGTACAGAAAAACGGAAAACTTGCCTCGTATAGCTTGACTGTTGGAGGATTTGTGCTAAGCCTAGGTGGCAAACTATTTAAAAACTTCAAGTAGTTTCAGTACTTTTTGTTTTTATCATCTATACAATTGACTATTATTTACCAAATTGTCAGAAATGGTTCTGTACCTCATTATAATAAGTAATTATCCTCTCTTGATTTAAGGGGATATTTAAACACAGCGCAAATTACCGAATGTTGAATTCTAGTTGTCGCCTGTTAATCAAAATAAACACTGAAGGTGAATTTGCATTAAAAATTTGAGAAAAAGAAGACTACCGAAAATAGATTGAGTGGAAAAGGTCTTATAAGTATTGGATGCTGTTACGAGCGCTTTCACGATGACTAACATGAAAATGACCAACCGATAATCTGGAGGATGTGTCTTCATATCCATAGATAATTATACAAATGAGAATTTTTTTCATTGAGCTCGGCTATGGATATTGATGTTTTTCCAGCCACACAAAACACCGTAATTTTTAGGGAGTTATTATAACTCCAAAAATGGAGTAAAAATTTTAGGTACAGGATAACCCCTTTTTGGGGGTTATTTTAACTCCTAATTTAACTCCGAATTTGGGGTCATTTTTACTCCTGAAAAAGAGTTCTTTTTACTCCCAGTCTGGAGTTAAAATTACTCCGAAATGGGGTTACTTGTACTCCTTACATGGGTTGTTTTTACTCTTTTTGGAGTTAATTTAACTCTGAAAGTGGAGTAAAAATTTTAGGTACAGGATAACTCCTTTTTGGGGGTTATTTTAACTCCTCAATATCTGGGGTCACTTTTACTCCTGAAAAAGAGTTCTTTAAACTCCTTTTTGGAGTTAAAATAACTCCACGAAAAATAACTCCACTGTAAGGAGTTAAATTAGCCCCACTAGAGGAGTTATTATAACTCCCTGAAAATTACAGTGTGTGCCAGTAATATGACAGTCCGATGCCTAATTCACCGTGGTACATTTACCATGTATTATAGAAAACAATAACCTTAATTATCAAATTTCGGCTTTTTCCTCTCAGTTCCTACGTTCTTTCTTTGCGGGCTTTTATACTAGCTTTTAGTGAGAAAATCCAACCCATGACAAATGTTTTTGCAATAAACACTTATTATACAACCACCGCAATTATATAATCATACAACTGCAATGGCATTAGTTTCTTCTTTTTAAATCCAACATAAGCTGAGTAAACTTCCTAACTCTGGAGCAAGACGTTCAGCATTATCTAAAGAGATAAATGGATTAAAAAGCGTTCACTATGGACCGAAATGAAACAGAAACAGCGACCATCTTTTCAAACACAACTAAGTCAGTGTTCCATTGCTCGCACGAACCAAACTTAGTATGGGATTTACATGACACTACTTCTCCTTGGGTTTTCGCCGCTATCGCGTCTATGATCTCTCCTTCTGCGGTTGTTTTGAATGCATTAATAATCATATCAGTGAAGCGAAGGAAAGAACTGCAGAGAGCTTCTAATATTTTGTTATCAAGTATGGCCGTTACAGATCTTCTAGTAGGAATTTTATGTGTGCCGTTATCTGCTGTGGTTGGACTGTTAGTTCCTTATCGAGTACTGGCTGACCATTACATTTGCAAGTTGGACTTTGTTGCGTTATCGCCCACGGTCACCCTAACGATTTGTTCGGTGTTTCATTTGACAATGATTGCATGGGAAAGGTACATGGCCATTCGAAAATGGATAGACCACAAGGTTATGGTGACTAGAAGCCTTACAAAAAAGATGGCAATAGTAGCTTGGATATTAGCAATAGTAACCGTATCTCCACCACACTTTATTACTCTCATGATGAGGGAAAATGACATCATCAGTTTAGCTTTGGAGATTTTCTTCATTATCTTTCAGTTTCGGTAATGTTTGCTCTATGTCTTATCATATATTTTTATGTCATGGTGTATCTTGGAGTTCGCAAACGCAAATTATGTCAAATTCGGCAAGTCAACGGGTTAGTGAACGCCAAACGTGAACACAGAGTAGCTATGACCACTGTTATGGTTACGGTTGCCCTGATTCTTTCTTTTTTCCCAACTATTCTCGGCGGGATATTACAAGGAATCTATCCAGTGTTTCGTCAACGTTTGGCGGTGCGTGTACAGGACACATTTTTGCATCTAAATTCTGTAGTTAATCCACTCATTTATTGCTACAGAGATTGCCGTTTTAGGAACGCCGTGCTGGAGATCTTGAGGATTAGAAGACCCAAAGTGGAACCGTTTGTTGTAATGTCTGATGCAGCAAGTTCCCGCCACGTGAGACAGAACGATATATCCGGTTCCGGAAAAGATAAGCCACAGATACAGAAAGCGAAAAACCCTGTTCCCTTAACAAGATCGGCGTCCTTGGAGTTGGTCTTGTTCTCTGATCAGACTCATCTGGGTTTTCAAAAGATGGTGCTAAAAAGAACCTTGTCATGTCCGTCTCTCTGACTCCTCATAAGTAATCGTTTCTACCCGGCAACTCTTGGATTGCAACAACCAACCGGACATTGTCGTCGCTACAGCAGTGACCCAGATGTAAGCTCCGATGTTCGATTCCCGCGGCCTTTTCAAACTTTGGTGAATGAACCTGGTTTGTTTGTTGGTCGGAATATTTATTCAAAGCTTTGTCTGAACAACAAGAGGACAAAAACACCCAAGCATTGAAAACCGCGTTCGTTTGACATGATCAGCATCTTGTAGTTTTTTGGGACAGACGGCAAATTGTTGTTGCTCAAAGTATCTATAAGTCGTAACTGTTCGTCAATAGGGTACCTAAAATGTGTGCAGTTCTACAATTGGTTTCGACTCATCCTCATTCTGGGCGATGTACTCTATTATTACGTTTTATTATATAAACACCAAATGAAATACCAGGTGAGTTTTCGCGCGAAAACATCATATCTTCACACGTGAAAATAACATGTTATTCAGTTTCACATGTGAAAGGATCACCGTTGCTATGGCTACATAATAAATCGCGCCTTTCGCAGCAAAAAAATATGTAAGTGAAATGGTTTGGAATTTCATTGGTGTTTATATAGTAAATAGAACATTACATGGCCGCCTCGAGACCGCGCGGCCGTGTAATAGCCTCCATATGTTACCTTTAAAACCACAGGCCGCCCAGACGCACTTTGCATGTCAATAACTATACATCGAAGATCGACAAAAACGGATCGGGACTGGAGACGACGATATTCGACCGAGAGGAGTTGTAAAATATGTAATATTTCAAATAAATATATCTTTACCATTACATCCTTGTCTGTTTATTTGTCCTGGTTCATTTTCGACTAGAATTTCCTCTGTTTCTCGTCGAGTCTGACGGTTGTTTTTTCACGGCATAGTCGCCTTTTTAGTCACGTGAGTATTTGAAACCACATGCTCGATGAACACTTCAGACGTTCGCTTAATTCAGTCATTCCACATCACTAAGATCTGTTTGTTTATTTGAGTCTTTCAGGGGGTCTAACATTTGATGAGGTCACCTCTGCGCAAATTGTCACTTCAGAATTGAATTCACGCTGTTTCTTATTCCATTCATTCGATTTGTCGAGTATTGGGAAATTTTCCTGTAGGTGATTCTAAAGGACGGCATCTAAGTTCAAAAAAAAGAAACAGGAGTTTTGTTTTTCAATCAAATTTCCCATGAAAGCTATTTTCTTCCGGATGCTCACCGAGATATGATAATTTTGGTACGGTTTAGTCTCTCTTGCATCACTCTCCGGGGGACTCTCCTGATGGTGAAATACAAAGTCCGCGGTATCAGGACGTCCCATCATGAATCAATGATATTTACATCAAGCTCAATAATGTTCAATTAACTCTTAAAATAATGGACAATTGCGTACCTGAAGCACCATCTCTTCTCCGTGAAGTGTCTCTCTCGCCCGAAATACCATTCAACACCCCGCCCATTTTCTTTTTAGAGTTTTTAATTCTCGGCATGATGTACACTCAGCTGGCTGGAGACGTTAAGTGACGGGAATCCCTTCCCTTCCCCATCTATTGTCTCATACTAAATTATCATATCTCGGTTAGCCATTTGGAAGGTAGGCAAGCGCGGTCATTGCACGCGTGCTGAACAAGAATGGTGTATCATGACAGACTAGAAACAATAGAAAACTCCCAAAGCACAAACTCAGCCAAAACGCTTAAAATCTTCAATGTTTACTCAAGTTTGGGCTTATAGAAGATAATGTCACAGTTTTTCAATGACCATGAAATTCAGAATCCGGGTAGTTAGTTAATCCATCGTGGCCCTGAAAAAATTTGAAGGAAAAACAAAAACTACGAACTTTTAAGAAAATGCTTTTTTCGTGAGAAGGACTCTTAAACGCTTACAAACGTCAACCAATAGCTAAAACTATAATTTCTATATGTTTACATTGCTCAAAATCGCGCGCATTTACATGGCCCTAAAGCTTTTTGCTGACGTGCAAGGACCCATCTGTTATAAAGATCCCCAAAATAAAGGGATAAATCACATAGTTTGTTAGAAATAATCGTGTAAAGTTTGCTTATCATTTTCACATAATTATGACCTAAATTTGCAAACCGCTAAATTTCTCGCATTGGGTCTTTGCGATTTTGGTGAAACGCTGTTCAACGCACGGCACTAATGCGCACTATATGTAGCCGAGAGTTTTTCGCCAAAAAATGCCGGCAACAGCAGAATTTCGACTCACACCCCAAAGAGGCGTGGCACTATAACCACGTGACATTTACTCCGGTCGCCAGAAAATTTTATGCTATATTGTAGATTGATCTATATGTTATCCATGCTATACGTTAGACCTACGATCAAAGTAAAGGTGGAGATACCAGAGAGCTTCAAAGCAGGATGGTACCCCTACGAAATAACTAGGTGGAGTCACCTTAATAATATAATAAGTTACAACCGCAAAACTGCACACTAAACAACTGCAACTTCAACTCCTTGCTCTATGGCATTCCAAAATACCAACATGGTCGGTTGCAGATTAAACGTGAATTCTAAATATCCCAAAGAAAAAGGCTATTGAGAAAGATCTGAAGAACGCTAAACAATCGACTTACATCATCACACAAAGGGAAAAAAACTACTTCAAAAAGAAAAATTAATGATAAAAAGTGCAATCTAAAGAAAATAATGAAAAGCATAAAGCACAAAGTGCAAGCAAACAAAAGCCGCAAAAGAAAACTGAAGCGAAATGTACGAGTTGACGTCGAGTGACCTGGGAAGCTTTAGCAACGACGATGGCGGCGGCACTGACGAGAACGGCAAAAAAGCGATGGGTTTAGATTGGCAAAACAACAACTCTACACATGCATCACGCTTTTTTGTTCATTTCTTTACCGTCACTGCACGACTACGACGGCGCGTGAAAGTGCCTAGTTTCACGTTTTGTGGAGGACGCATGAACAAGTGAAAACGAATTCGTCTTTCTCTTTCTAAACTTGAGTGCGGTCCTCAAGTAATCAACACCAGGGAATTCGCCTATATTTGACATTTTCAGCGAATTGGAAAGAACTCAGATTCATTTTAAAAGTGACGTTTTCGGCGCTGCCGTCGCCGTTGTCGATGTTAAAGCTACACAACGAGCTATAATGTAACACCTAAATACCCGAATACAAAACAAAGCGAGGAAATATATCAGGAAGGGATAGTTTTACCTCATCACATCTCTATTTAGAATTGTTACTAATTTGAGGGAGTTACTTTTTTACTCTTTTTGATGATGTATGTAATAATATCCTTTTCACAGACATTCCTGTGTCAGAAGTATGGTTATCGCCCTTTTCCACACATTATTCCTTGTGATGAATTTGAATCACTCCTTGCTGTCATTGAAGATGAGAATAACAAAGACTTCTTAGATGCCTGGTTCAAACGTGATGACAATGCAGTTCCAGCGAAATATGTTCTTCAACCGATCAGTTCACAATTTCCAGATTTTGTTGCTCCAACAAGTAAAGAAGCTAAACAGCAAGCCTTGAGGGAATGGTGGAATGTGTTCCTTATGCTGCAGAGTATTTTGAGAAAGGCAGCTGAAGAAGCACTGTCCAAAGATGCTGCTCACAGATATCAACAATCCGGTGGGTTTATTTGTCATTTTTATTCATTTAAAATATTTCGCCGTTTCTGATTGGCTCCAATCCCCCGGCTAATTCTTTATAACCAGCCGTCGCTTACCATATTTAGAAGATGTAGGCAAGAACTTATCGATTTGATGGTATACTTCTAACAGCGTCATTTCCAGGAAATACCGCTTCAGCTGTTTATGCCTTTGTGAACTAAAGAACAATGTCGTTCACGACCATCTAAAGACGTAAAAGCCGAATTTCTGTCTAAAACTGAACGGAAGAAATGCAGTAATTCGCAAAAAATATTGCTCGATGGATTTCATCTATTTTTAGTGAGTATTTGCAATGCGAAACATGAAAAAACCTTGCGCGAGATACAGGCAAATATTGGAGAAAAGTCTACTAGGAGCTAAGTTCGTTAAGAACTTACAAGTTTTTTGAATGAGTTATCAAGCAATTATCCAATTCGGCTTTCGTATGATATAAAGAACTATGCAGATCTCGGAGGATGTTATCCACCTCCTCGATTTACATAATTCTTCACATTATAATCAGCAGCACAAAGAAGCAAAACTAAACCTAATAATTTACCTCTATCAAGTACGCAGTCGAAAAATTTGGATGTGTATAGGCGAATCTTTGGTGACGTCATTGTTTACATTTGTGCTTATTAGCATACGCGTTAACTCAAAGATGGCGTCACCGTATGCACAAATTAAATTCAAAAGTTGAAAGAGTTGGTTAATTTGAGCAATTTATGTAATTTTCAGCTCTTTTCAGGCAGTAATAAAGGAAATAGCAGCCATCCAAAACTGCGAAATTGGTGTGTGGCAAAAACGTCAATCAGCCCATACATTCCTTGTAAATTTTCGAGTTTTTCAAAGATAATTCGCCCTATATTACCCGTTATATCGGGCTCCAATTTTCACAGATATCTCAAGTTGTCATGCCCTTTCGATATTCAGAGAGTTTATTTTGTTTGTCCGGGTTTCGGATGTTTTCGCTCTGGCCAATAGCCCACGTTCGATATATTCAAATTCTTACATGACTGCGAGCCGTTCTGATCACTTGTCTATATTTGGTTCGGGAACTGCGAGACAATGGAGTCGTGAAAAATGTGCAATTTTGACCCTAAAGCCTCAGAGTCATGTGAGAATTTGAATCTATCGAACGTGGGCTATTAGAAGGTGGTCGACGGAAACATTTTATTAGAAAAGTATTTGTTTTTCTCTCGCTAGACTCAGAGGAGGAGATAAAACAAGGAATTCTGCAAGCGAATTGCCCAAACTCTCACGCATTTTGGTTTCATCGGATTATCACAGACATGAAAGATAACGCCCAAAACCACAACGCCGCTAAATACATTGACATAGAGGAGCTTCCACATAAAGAAAACAGTAGGGTAGGATCAAGGGGATGGGATGATACGGCAAAGAATCTTCTAGAATCACTAAAGAAGAAGCAGATCCCTAGGGCACTTAGTAAGAACAATACAATTTCGTACAACCTTAAGTGGGTGGAAAATGGTATCGACACGCATTCAAGCGAAGAGCACCAGAGGTACATTGAAAAGCTGTGTCAAGATTTCCACAACAAGATGAAAGAATGTATCGAGAAGGCTATCAAGAAGGCGAAAATATCGAGACCAGATAACATCCTATTTGAAGAAGTTTCTCAGCATACAGTTCATTGTAAGCAGCTCTGTTCGTCCTTAAACGACCAAAATCGGACGTTGAATAGAATTAAGAGTTATGTGACTGGGGAAAAAGGTTTCCCTCTGGTTGTTCATGGTCAGCAAGGCTCTGGGAAGACGTCATTAGTTGCCATGGCAGCTAGCAAGTGTTCTTCATGGGTGGGGTCAGAGGTAGCAGTTGTCTTGCGGTTTATTGGAACTACCCTTCATTCGTCTAAAGTCCAGCAGCTCTTGCAAAGTATCTGCCATCAGCTGTGCGTGGTGTTTAATGTTGATTCCGAGAGTGTTCCGAAGGTAAGCGTGATTTTGTACATTATACTGGGTTCTACACGCATTTTGGTTGGTAATTAGTATGAGCTAAGGCGTTGTTTACACGATGCCGTATAGGTTTTCGTGCTGAATCGAAATAAGTATAGTATGTTCACAGTAACAGCACAGAACTGGAACAAGTCGTTCACACACATCGAACATCGTACCTGGACCGTTGGCTGAGAGGGTTTGGTGAACAAAGTTCCAGTCGTCCACACACTCTTGAATATTTACTTCCGTTTCAGTGGATTCCTGTCCTCGCTCGTACAAATAAACTTCCGCTACCGTCCGGGTACCTGTTCACACTGCACCAAAGCGTGGCCAGAACCTGTTCGATTTGCGCCGAAATCCCCGTTCTTATGTTTAAACGGAGGCCCTATCCAGTATTGTTTTTGTGCCGGCATAAGAGCTATCCTGTATCGAGTGAACACAGCCTAAGGTTACTAGTGTAGATACACTAGCGATGAGCTACAGAAGACTCGAAGGAGCTAAGAAAACTTGACTTATAGGTTAATGTGACGAACAACCCGCATACTTTTAGGACTGGAATGTCGAAATGTGAATTTTCAGCCCAGAAAATATACGAGAAACGATGCGCAGGTGACTCGGACGAAAACAATGATCTCAGTTTTCTCTTGGACTAGGCAAAGTTTTCTCAACAGGAGTCGAATCAAAGGCCTGAGATCTGTTGTAACACATTTTTGAGTATGGTGGGCAGTTTGAAATGCGGATAGAATTTGCCCATGTTAACTAAAGACCTTTTGTTAGTGATTTTGACAAGTAGGAAAATGCACAAATGAAAGAGAACAGTATTTTTGTCTTGAAAAGTAGTAAAATTTCGAACCTATAATTGCGTATCAATGCTCACAGTCGAGCGGTACCTTAAAGAAATTAATTCTCTCTGACCGTACGTTCGTTGTGCTATAGACTACTGAAGATGTCGAATTGCGTTCTAGGCGTTCATTGCAGCAAACCTTTATCTTGAAGCCATTTGCAACTGAACAGACGCATAGGTCAGGGATGAAATTTTGTCTTACCAGCAGGCTCCTATAGTTAAAACAGTAGATAGCCCTATCCACCTGATTAATTATTATCAAGAGGATAAGTACTAAGAAAACCAATTGCACTGCCCACTGGTTAGAGATTTATCCAGTAGATAGTGGTATCCACATCTTTTAATAGCCTTTACAGGCGTATTTCCGATCGTTGCCTCTCTTCACCCGAACCTTTTGAACAATTGCGCCAGTTTTTTAACGAACGGTTGCGCAGAAAAATACATCAAAAGTTAGGCAGTTGCCAACCTTTCGTATCCTTGTAAGCTCTCTTGTATGCTGGCGTTTGCTTTTGAGCAACCTCGTTCACATAATTTCACAATGGCTAAAGCTACTGTACAATTTGTAACCGTGATGTGTGTGACTTTGGGTTGCGATATTTAACGTTGAGGTTTTTTAGTTAGCCGGCTTGCACCGGGTAGCTGTGTGTACACCATCCACGTTGAATCAAGAAAGCAGTTTTAAAAAGGAACCCATCTCATGTTGAGCGAACGGTGTCTATTAAAAAAGTGAGACAACAATTTTTTTTCACTCTGATTCGAAGAGAAGTTTACTTTCATTGCAGGACTATCAAAATCTGGTGAAGGAATTTCATAGGCTTCTTCAAAATGCAACAGCCACTCATCCATTGGTGTTATTTCTTGATTCATTGGACCAACTTCACAGCTATAACATTACCAGGGAGATGTCATGGTTACCATGTAATCTGCCACCTCATGTAAAGATTGTTCTCAGTTGCTTGACGGGCGACCGGGCCTTTGCTGCTCTTAAGGTAGGCCATTTGATAATAAATATAACTTTAATTTACATTATCTGACAAATAGCTCCGAAAGAAGACACGCTGTGTGTGGCGTGTCATAAAGAACTGCACTAACAAACAAATGTCCCACTTGACCCAGTTCTAAAATATGCTATCGCCTATGTAGCGCGCATTCGCTCAAAAGAGAGAAGCTTATTGATTGAATGCTGATGCCCAAAGGTGTATTAGTTTTTAAAGGTCCATTTTGCTTTCTTATCGAGGGCATCCATCCATCTCATTTCTAAAACCTCTTTTCTGACTGACTGCGAAAGGCGTGACACTAACGTTGTTCCCGAACATGGTAAAATGTAGATGAAAGCATGAAGATGCTTCATATGTTATGGCTTGAGTTAGCGATGACCTACTTGGCTGGTGCTTCTAAAGTTCCAAGAGCGAGGATTGAGAAAGCTTACTTATTCGTGTAATGGGTATTCGTGAGATTTTGTCAGCCTCTATATAGACGCCTATTTTTGTTAGGGATATTATGGACCCTGTGCCTCATACATGTAGCTGTTTGCCTTGATCATCGTTCACTTTGTACCGTGGAAAACTGCCAAGCTTTCAAAGCCATATCATTGTTCCTCAAACTGCCATCCTAGCTGGCTAGCCGGCTATGACCTATTCTTGTTGACAGTTACACTTACATTTACATCTGCGTAAGTCTGTTACTTTTCGTGAAGTTCTTTATTGAAAGCACTCTGGCTGTGCTTTTCTTTCCGTAAACGATCAGTTACTTCCCTAAGCAACTTGCAGCACCTAGATTCCTTTTCCAAGTCTTGGTATTTTTTTTAATCACTACAGGCCATCGCTACTGACGAAGATCATTTCGTAGAGGTCCCGGATTTTACTGATGATGCAGTAGTAGACTTTCTTAAAATGAAGCTGAATGAGAACCAAAGAAAACTGACTGAATCGCAAGAAAATTTCATCCTAAAACAAGTATCACGATGTCCCTCTGCCCTTTGCTTGAAGCTTGCTGTGGAGCAGGCAGTTCTTTGGAGGTCGTACACGGCTGTTGAGAGCGCCAGCCTCGCTTCGTCAGTACGTGAAATGATCAACTCTGTGTTTGAAAATCTGGAGCGTAAACATGGCAGAACGTTATTGCATCACACACTGGCATATATCACTGCATCAAGAAAAGGCATCAGCGAAACTGAACTAGAAGATGTGTTATCTTGCGATGACAAGGTGTTGGATGACGTCTTCTCAACTTGGGCACCACCCATTCGAAGGTTGCCTCCATCGCTCTTGGCCCGAATCAAGGCCGATATCGACTACTTCCTTGCTATGCACGTTGAAAATGGGGTTCGTTTGATGACTTGGAAACATCAGCAAGTACACGATGTTGTTATAGAGAGATATCTCTTCTCGAACGAGATAGAACTCCGCCGCTTTCACTCGGAGTTGGCAGACTATTTCATTGGTCGCTGGACACAAGGTGCAAAGAAAGAGGATACCAAAGGAAATGCAAAAGACCGCCATGTTTCTCCTCAGCCGCTTAAATTCAGCGATGATGCGTTTAACTATAGAAAACTTAGTGAACTGCCTTATCATTTGCTTAAATCTGATGACTTTGAAAGGCTGAAGCAATGTGCCTTATGTAACTACGAATTTCTTTTGAACAAATTAAAGGCCACGTCAGTATACGACGTATTAGACGATTTTGTTGAAGCGCTCGCTGTTGATCCGGATGAACTTGACGTGAAACTTGTTTTCGAGACGTTGCAACTGTCGATTGAAGCCTTAAACGTTTCTGCCGATCAGTTGGCGTCACAACTTATTGGACGTCTCTCTTCATCTCGATCGCCCTCTTCGTTCATTGCGCGTTTGCTGCGTCAAGCGCACCATCCTTCAAACCCGTCATTTGTCCCCAACATCCGTTGTTTGGCAAGACCAGGCGGCAGGCTGGTACACTCGCGTCCTGGACTGCATGGATCTCTAGTACTTAGCCAAGATGGTAAGAAAGCAATGAACGGAGGCGATGACCAGCTGATTAGCATATGGGAGGTAAAGAGTGCGAGGATCGTGAAAACACTGGACACTGCTAGAGCAGTTGGTCACGTGGACTTCTGTCTTGATGATCAGTTGGCTGTTGCTTCTTGTCAAGGCGCGCTTCAGTTTTGGAACCTTGACGAAGCGGAGATGGTGTGGGAGATTCCCAGTACGGAAAACCCTGCCCCCATCGCAATAGCAGGAATCAGAGACACTCTGGTAGCAGTTCTGGACAACGTCATAAAATTTATTAACCTCAACGATGGCACTCTAACAAGAGATTTCGTAGATCAGGAGTTCAATCATGACAAAATTGCAGGATTGGGTGATAACATTGCGCTTGCAAGCTCGCGAGCGAGCTACACCAGGCTGTATGATCTCCAAACAGAAGATATTCGTCTTGTTATTGAGATCTGTGGGGAAAACGCGGAAGATTTTGTCAGCGATGTCATTCTCACCCCATTCCATAGAGGTCAACTTTTAGTCTCTACAGAAAAGTCCTTTGGTGTGAGAGTGTTTGAGTTGATATCAGGCAAGTGTCTTCACGTCCTAGGGCCAGATATACTCTACCCCACGGTGACCAAGAGTGGACGTTACTTGCTTTGTACTGACAGCTTCAATGATATTGCCGTCTGGAACTTGGAAACTGCTGTAAAGGAGAAACAAATGCTGAAACATCCCCCGACCACCGCCATTGTGAGAATAGCTTGTGTCGATTTGAAAATGGTAGTTACCGTTTCCGATGACCTCATGGCTCGTGTGTGGGATCTTGAACCGCAAGGTGACGACGTTAACTTTGAGAACAACAAGGACAAGAACAGCATCCAACACCTTGTGTTGATTAAAAGCAGTTTCCAGAAGCAGGTCATCACTAAGTCAAAGACCCCGGGGCCTATCTGTGTATGGAATCTAAGCTCGTGTCAAGTCATTCGAACCTTGAACAACACTAACGCAGACGAGGTTTTGGTGGTAGATGAGACACGCGCTGTCATTCGCTCCGGTACAAAACTTGCCATTATTGACCTCCAAGAAGGGAAACTCATTAAGCATATGCGATCCGATTTTCCTGCCAAGACGGATAAAGTTCATCGCCATGCAAGCTCCCTGTACAAGCGTAGAGATTTGGCACTACGTTTGGCTGAGAGCCCTAGAGCAGTGTCGACGAGTGTGAAGTTTAGTGATTGTGCTTTAGTTGGCACAACGCACGTTCTTATTCTTTCTAAAGACCGCTTGTATCTGAAACTTGCCTCCCTTGAGACTGGAGAACTCGTAACAAAGCTCAAAGCTGGTCAAGACGCTGTTATCGAAACAGTCATGGTCAGTGGTAACGGCTTGGTTGCTGTGTGCTCTTGCGAGAATGCTCCTCTCATCGTTTGGGATCTAAGGGAGAAATCCAAGCGATATACGCTGGAAATAAGTGGCCACTACCCACGCCTCACAACTGCAGACATCAGTTCTAATGGACATTACCTTGTTGACGTTGTAAAACTGGACAAAACACACAAGTCAGTGGTAACCTGGGACCTAGAGACTGGAAAAGTCAAGCACATCATCGGTCAGGGGATGAAAGTGTGGAAAGTAGCGTCCTCTTGTCTGAGCATGCGCATGGTAGTAGCGGGAACTACTGGAACGAGTGAAACGATAAGAGTGTACGACTTGGTGTCTGGTGCGTTTTATCATCAGCTGAATGGCCACACGGAACCTGTCAAAGATGTCTGCCTTTCAAAAGATGGAAAACGAGCTATTTCCTTCGTTCCTGTTGGTGTTCGCGATCGTACCATTCGCTTATGGGACTTGCTCACAGGTACACTTCTGGCCTCGTTCACTCCAGATCTTCCAGTCTCTAACTGTATTTTGACAGATGACGGTGACCAGGTTGTTATGGTGATAAACAAGTCTCGGCCAATCGTATCTCTGACACTGTCGCATGAGGTTGGATCAAGGGAACTGTCTGTGGATGTTTCTAATCCGTATTTTAGCCGCCCCACTCTACACGGGGCCGTCTTTGATATGAGCAAGGAACTTGAATGGGAGGACGAAGAGAGTGAATTTGAAATTGATGTTTGAAGTTCGTTACATACATTACACGCCATGTTCTTTACGAGGATGTTATCTTTCACGGCAATTTCGTATGACTTAACAAGTGGATTTTTTTGTACAAAAAGTTGCAGCCGTTGGGTTCGAACCGGGAATATTTTGGTGCTTGGGATAGGTGTTCGTTTATGGGAGGTGGTCGCTTACGGGAGGTGGCTGCACATGAAGGCTTGACCTTATGTCTCATGAGGAGCAACAAATCTACTATGATTAAGAAAATTTGGGGGGGGGGGAGAGATTTTCTTGTTTTTATTCTCTTGTAAGGGACCACTTGCCACATGGTGTGATCTCCAATTTACCTGTCTTTACTACAGTACTCAGAGAGTACGTGAAACATCTACACGTATAGAAACTTAGAAATTATACGTATTGAAATATTCGACGCGACCCCTGTGGTAAGCGAACGCTAAATCTTGGCAGTTTGGGTGGTCGATTACGGAAAGTTTTGACTGTATAATGAATACCTTAAATCCTCTTTTAAGCCTCCCCCGGGGCCTATTTTTTTTAAGGACGTCTCAGCGGGGAAGCGGGCTTATTTTATTTAGCGAAGACGGTGGTATCGGTCCTTTACGAAGATGTAGAAGGCAAAGTGGGAAAGGATATGAAGTTGGAGAACAAATACAGTGGAAGCTCTCGTGAGCTGACACCCTCGAGACGCGAAAAAGGTGTAAGTATTGGACCTGGCCTCATACGGGAATGTAAAACTACAGAGTTTGTATGGGAGTTGAGAAAAACGGGGTTTTGTGAAGGCGGCCGTAAGTAGAGCTGTTCGCTTACGAGGGTGCCCGTTAGGAGAGACTTCCAGTACGCAAGTAAATACCGGAGTGCCTTACAGTCGCGATTTATTAATACAGTCTATCCGGCATTTATCAATTTCGTGACGGAAAATAATAAGGGGGAGGGAAGGGGGCTCAATAATTTTGTTTCCCTGAAAGGAAAGGGGGGAGGGCTTATTTGAAAGGGGGGCTTGATGGCTTATAGAGGATTTACGGTACGTTATGAATTCAATTTTGTTATGTTGTTGGCTCGTTAAACTTTGCGGGGTTTATTGAGTAAGGCATCGCAAGATTTAAAAAATAATGCCGCAGCAATATGTACGTGCGACAATTTAATTTATAAAATATCTAAGATAGTACGCGCGCTCTGATTGGCCGAGAGGCGTGTTTGCATGAGAGTATGGAAACATGGTTCTGACGTCAAGATGTTTTGCTTTTCGCGCGATAATCACGCAAGCACGAATTTGAACACGTTATTGAGTTGAAAATTCGACACGTTTACTTTACTTGCCCATTCCCTCGTCGCCTGAAACGTGTAAAGTCTTTACAAACATGCTGTGCCAATTTGTTTTCGCTTAAGCTGACATTTTAAGTGAGAAAAATCTCTATTTTAGAATGCATCTTTTTTGCAAAACTAGAACTGATTACGCAAGCAAGACGTCGCGTACAAGACTTCGCGACTGGTAAGAATTTATCTTTTAATCAGTGCCATAACAAAGAGTTTTGTGTTTTATCTCGGGAAAGTTAATTTATAAAAGCAATAGAAAACTTTTTTTCCTTACCGTATTTGCATAGCCTTATATAAACACTCGAGGGATTGGGAGAATTCTCGACAGTTATGCAAACCCTCCACTTAGTCTCGGGTTTGCATACCTGTCTCGAATGCTCCCAACCCTCTTGTGTTTATATCAGGCTATGCAAACACGGAAAGCGTTTTCTTTTGCTTAAGTATGTGATCTAATGATCTGAAACAAAGATCGCAGTAAATACCGTCCGTTACCTAGACTTATATGAGAAAAGAGGCCTAGGAGTGTAGTGAGTGTGATTGCATCTTTTTAGTTGACTTGAGGTCATTTGGTAAGACTAACTCAAGTTCGAAAACCAATTGACCGGTTATAACTAGATGCAGTTAACCAGAAATCACTCTTATGGCAGCTTTTTTGAAAATAGCACGACGATGATAAACGCTATTAATTCCTCCTAAAATCTTGAGGAACCCTGGTGTTAGTTTTGAGGTAATTTATAATGAACAACTTGTGTCTTTATAATATATTATTGAGATAGAGAAGGACTTCTCCCTGGGAATCTTGTTAGCTTTTATAACATAAACCGGTTTTATGATGACTTTACGACCAGTTAACTGGAGCGTTTCAAATGTAATTTTATTAAAGAAATAGCACATAATTTAAATTTGTTACTGAAAAGGGTTTTTCGAGTAATTTTCCTGGCCACTTTTATTACGTAATCGGTTTGTTCTGGTATACATTTTGGTACGGAGATGATTTTGTAAATATTTTGGTAAATGTATCGATGTTTTAAACTTATTTGTGGCTCAAATGTCGAATTTGTAACGGTACTTTTTAGGCAGATGCTTCAATAAAATGTAACGGAGGCATTTTAAGAGTCACCTGCGTCATGTGTACTTTTAATGTACCAGTGAGTGACTCGCGGCTGTCTGTTCCCCAGAGATGCGCGGTCAAGGCGAAGGGTAGGGGTAATGGGAAGGAGGAAAGAGGGACGTCTCTCTCTTTTGTTGCCCTCCTTTCTATTCCCCCTTGCGCTCCCCTGGACCGCGCTTCTGTCGTATGAGGCTAATAGGCGACTGGGGACGAGGCGGGACTCGCGGTTTCTCCCTTGTCTCGGCCGTACAAGCTTTAACTTCACGTTTTGGAGTTTGTTTGATTGTAAAAAGAGCAAATAGTTATGTTGTGGGAGAATCACGACATACGGACAGACGGATGACACACACGGACAGGGGTTTCAAAAAGCACCGACCGCCGACGAAACGCGTCGGCTACTTTGCTCAGAGAGGTCGGCTACCTTTTTTTAGAAAGAAGAAGCAGCTAGTTTGAATGACTAGTTGTGTTTTCATAAAGGCGCTATGGTTTTAAGTTCTGCTTTAGTCATGCAAAAGCTATATTTCAGCAATTTTTTCACAAGTTTCTTCACAGGCTCACGCAGAGTTTGTTTACGTGCAAAAGTACGTAATTTAGTTTTCGTCATTTGTTCATTGCTTTCAAGAACTGATTGAATGTGTGACTGACAAAGTGAAAGCTACATTTTCTTATGAACGAAAAACACGCTCTTTTTTCATCAAACTTAGTCCCCAGAACTCTGTAAATCGCATTTTAGGGCCTTGAAGTTTCAAAATTGTCTGGGGCAGAACGCGCCCAGACCCCCTACCCCGTAGAAAAAGGGGACTAACGGCCCCTTGTTGATACAGTCTGTTACTCCATTCAAACCTGCCGGCTACTTCAATCTTTATCGAAACCCCTGCTGATACACACACCCTACTTTTGGGGGTTTACGGCTGTTAATTTGGTGGGGAAATACCGGTAAGCATTCTGGCCACGTTTAGAAAGAGAATTTTTGCTTGCATCAAGAAACTCCGAAAAACATTTTTTTCTTCAGCCTTTATTCCTCGTTTCTTCCTTCTAGCTCCAGAGAGAGAGAGAGAGAGACTGAGAAACGAAAGTTAAACTTGTAAACCTAATTTCGGGCGTTTCGTGAAATTTAAATCTAATGAAACAATTATAATGAACGGCACAGAGCTTTAGTCGGTGAAAGTTCTGGCTTATTGAGATTTCCAGACAAAGCAATACAATTCGTCTGGGCGAATCGCCGTAAAGATATGTATTTCATTATACGCCAGTTACTCTTACAGGCCATCCGTTGTTTGAGACTTTGTGTCGATTTGTGAATGTACACGTACACAACATCGTATAAAAAAGAAGTTCTAGAAAGAACATTGCCGCTCAAGTTCTAGGGAGGTTATCAGGTCTCGGATACTATACATTCAGTTGGTATGTTCAGCAGCACTGCCACAATCATCATGCAGCGCGTCACTGAATCCTTCACTCCACCCGCTACTTTTCAAACTTTTTCTCCATATGTGCTCGACAATGGTGCTGTAGCTGTCAACTAGTTGATTAATTGATTGATTGGTTTTCGCAGAGTCAGGGAAAGGCAATTTATTATATGGCTGAATCCGCGGGCGCGCAATTGCAAGATGAAACGAATCATCATCCGTTATCACTTCTGATTGGCTACCCGAGCGGGCTCGGCAGCTCTCTTTTGTGTTTTTATCTAACCATCTTGACCTCAAGCTTGGTCAGTAATGCGTATATACAGCATTTACACAGTAATCAGTGTCAGCTTACATCGTCCGTTTTCAAAATTAATGTTCATCAGAAGACAGCAGATTCGTCAATTTACTCCGTTTCGTAGCATCAATCCTTTGTTGCAATTTTGCAAGCATTTGAATGTCGTGTTCCACAGAACGAGACTCCCGAGGATTTTGCGCGATTCTGCGTTGCTCCTGTAAAGTCTTCATTTTTTCCTGTACTAGTTTTTCGAGAATGCTCAGCTTCTCTTGCTCTTTTTGTGTGATAGGTTGTATTTTGTCGGTGTCTGCACTGGTTTCTTCAGGTGGTGTTGTGTCGATTTCTTGAGATGGAAGATCGAATCTGACATGAGATATCCCCGTTATCTCATCATTCCCTGCGTTTTCTTGATAGATTTTGCCTTCTTTGCGTTTTAGCTTCATTTCCTGTTTTTTAATCAAAGAATCATCCTCAGCTTCGATGTCAACGTGTTCCAAAAGCATCGACGAAGTTTGACTCTCTAAACTCATTACCTCGAAGATCCTGAAGTCGTCGATAACGTCTTCCACGTACGCTTCATTAATAAGGTTTTGAAGCCTAACAAACTGGCTTTTATCGATATAATTTCTTTGAGCCTTCAACATTACTTCCTTAGGGTCTTCTTCCTCTTCAAGTTCCTTATCCTTCTTCTCTATTCCTGTCATTTCTTGGAATTTGTCCACAAATATTTCTAAAATAGCAGATTCAAAAGAGTTTTCTTTTGCTCTTCCTCGATCATCCACCAGCGTTTGCCGGTGGCCTACTATAAACACCGACCTTATAATGGTTAGGTAGTAGAAAATCAATGTTAGGCAGCAGGAGAATAAGGCAAATGCCCTCACGATTGTGTAGGTGCTTGAAATATCATCGGATGTTCTCACCATCCGAGCCATGTACGAAACGGAGGTTTGGAATGAATTGGAGAAGTCCTTGAAATCTTCACTGTCTGTGTTGAATGCAAGTTTTAACATTGACGAAAATGCCATCATCAGGCAGAAGAAGACAAATAGGCAAGCAACCAGCTCATGAAAACATCTTGCGATGGTCCTCAGAATTTGAGTTAAACAACTTAGAAACTGGATGAAAACAGCAAACCGAACAATAGCGATAAAATTGAGGAGAGCGAAGGCATAGTCGGTCAGCTCATCGTAGAAGCCACATTGGTAGAAATCGAGGAACTGATGTGTGTTTTCCTTGAATTGGTTTGTGGCTAGTTTCTTGAAACCCTCTGTTAGTACTTTCAGAAAAATAATGACAACCCCAGTGAGAACTAAAACAAGGTCCAAAACCTTGGCGAGGTCTGTAAAATACCGCAACTTGTCGTGGAATAGAGTCAGAACAACACGATAGATCATGAAAACCAATGTAAGAGCACCGATCACCTCGCCAGTTATTCTGGCGGCTGGATGTTTTCGCAAGGAGCTGTACATGCTCACTGTGAAGACTTCATAACTTTTGAATATTCCGCTTATAGGCGGAATCTCAAACGTGATGGACATAGCTGCCAACATATTAATGGCGGGATTGTACACAACAAATTCGGCGTGCACCGCTCTGGTGTATTTATCTAACCAAGACGATCTCTCATGACGATCCACAATAAGCCTAGACTGTTCCGAACTTCTGTTCAAATTCAACACGTATCCACCTCCGCTGTAAGTTGAAAATGTCCCGATAACTGGTAGTATATGATGAGCTTCGAAGGCGTTAACATGCTCCCAAGAAGTGTGAACGTGAGTTGACTGTGACGATAAAAAGGCGAATAACTTTCCTTTTTCTGTCTCGGTTGGTTTCTCTCTTGCATTCTTCCACCCTTCGGTATAACACTTTGTTTCTTCGTTCATAAGCGAATGGAAGTCGTTGCATTCCGAGATAGCACCTTTAAAGAACTTGTTCACTTTACAAGTACCTTAAATGAACAACATAGTTAGCCTTAATAGAGTTTGTTCTAGTGTGTAAATACTAGAATAAGTTTTCAATGAAAGGGTACCTGAGAAAAGCGGAGTGCAACACAATATAATTCCTTTAATTTAGTGAAATTTGCATATTTCGTAAGAAGCAGCTTGTGGAACTCCTGGGAAATCTTTTACTTGCAAATAAAGTTTTCGCTGTTCCTTGAAACTGTAAATTGACAATCAATAGTTACCTGTTTGTATGCGAACTTGCCGTATTCGCACCACGCCCAGAAGCAGTGACACTCTGTCGGCAATAAATGGCTCACTTTCACCACTCCCATCATGTAATACTGGGTGCAAGCAGGGTAACAAGGTCTTTCTCGTCCAGGCCCAGATGGAATCTATCTTTGTCACCTTTGAATACATAGATGTAGAATAATATTTAATTTCAATTATCCTGGCGGGCCGCGAAGCGGCCTTTGGTATAATTGGGATTTCATTGCAACTTTCTTGCATCAACGAATGCTCACTCATGACCCGCCTAGTAAAGTTGGGAATCTATTGCGCGTTCTTATTTTGTGTGATATTGCATAATATGGTAATACGTTATTTAAATTTTGCGTTTCAAATAAGGTGTTGCTTTACTTTGGTGCAACATATAGCCCTGCAAGCACGTATTACATAAAAAAATGTGTCAGCTAAGTCGCTATTTTTTGGATGAATTTTAAAATTGAGATGCAAACTAGGACAGTGGGGCAGTAGCACAAAAAGAACAAGTTTCTTGCATACAGGTATTTTTTGGCAACTTGCATTCTTGTTTTCTCGTTTCTCGAGCCTTAGTTTTTCCATCTCTTTGTTTTGAATCACCGAAGAAACTACGAAGATTGTCTCGTACGTGAGGTAATAATGGGTTGAACGCCTTTTGTTGTTTCGCTAGAGGGGCAGGCAACTAACAGTTGTAATAAACATAAGTTTAACAGGTGTTTTAGCTTACCTGATTTAGGCGAACATAGCTACTGTTGTGAACCGGATCTAGAAATATTCGCCTCAAACCATCGATCATTTTGTTCGAGTCTGGGTTTCTGTACTGGAAGCTTAAGATGATGACCATTGTGAGCAAAATAACGTAAACACAGAAGTCTGTGAAGAGTTTGATCGTGTGACGTCTTCTAAGCTCTCGAGTTCGCAGCGATTTCAAGAGCTTCTTATCAGGCGCATTGTACTGCGTCCAATCTTCATGTCTCAGCTGTTCGTCGAAAACTGCCTGGTCGGCCCCTATGATCAGATGAGGTAAACAGTTAGTCAGTGAAACATTAATAAAATGGCCAGTTCAGTAATAATCGGGACCAAAGGGTCAGATCTCCGCGCCGTTTAGATTTTCTCTCGCTGAACCTGTTTTTCTTTTGTACATAAAGAAAGTGTTGTGAGTCAGTCTGTTGTGGAATAAAAACGTTTAAACTAGACGAAGAAAAGTGTTCTCTTGAGTAGTCTATCATACGCCTTTCGTAGAGCTTAACTGTCACATTTTGTTGCAAAAGCAAACCGTTGCTGCGAAAACTGGGGGAGAATGAAATATTCCAGAGTGCACTAAAAGTCACTATGTTTATTTTAAAACAAATTAGCTAGGATGAAACGAGTGTCGACTTGGGAAAATTTAATGCCGTTAAAGCCGATAAGATTAATGAAATAAAAATAGAAGTAGAAATTTAGTCCATGCAAAGAAGTGTGATGATGTTCCCAATTATAAAAATTTCATTAATTAATGCTAACTTGTCAATTTTAATGTATCTCGTACTTACCCATGGCGGCTGATATTTCTTCTAAATCGTCCTGACCACTGGGCGATGCGACAGCTATTGCAAAGACCAAGGAGACAATAAGCACCTTCAGTGGCTGACTGATTAGTGTGTCTTGGACAAACGAGATGGCCATAGTCGTTAGCCAAACGTTAGACTGCTCTTTCCCCCACATCATGCTGTAAAACAGTGTGAACGCGGCAGATGTAAGTGTCATCAATATGCACAAAGTCCAACCCAAGTAAATGCACCAGTGTGGAAAACAGTGTGAACGGCTGCCTCCAGAGCCTTTGAATTTTGCACGAATTCTTGCAAAGAAACCACTAGATTCATCCTGTAACTTTAAGTCGGTTTTATCGTGATTTTTACTGCTATTTTCGTCTGGTTCACTGTGAAGTTCAACTTCATCATCGATCTGACACTGGATATCGTGGAGGTCCGTTTCTTGGTCCTTATTTTCAACAACTCCCACTAAACTATCCGTATCAGTACGTATGGAATCAGTATCATCAACCTGCTCAGGTGACTGGGAAACGTTTTGTCTACAGCAATTCTCCTTTGGCTGGGAAGAATTAAATTCCTTCCTTCTAGATTTTCTAAACAAAGCCACAATCAAGAGGTTGACAGGCAGTACAACTAATGCGCTCTCGATCGCTATGATCACAGTACGTAAATTAACTTTAATCGGTCCCACCTCCAAGTTTTTAGACGTATCTCCCGGTTGAGGGTCAGAACCGTAAAACATAGCAGTAACGACCATGAAGGAAAACAGCAGAGACAAGCAACAAGAAATTCTTTGAAGCCGCGTGAATTGGCTTCTAGGAGGGCGATATGCTACTGAGAACCATAGATGATTGTCACATATCCCCTCATGAATTTTTCTGTTCAACCTTTTCTTGAAAGATACCATATCTTCTTCGCTTGCGGGACGCAGAAATACATCTACTTTTGCGTCTTCGTCCGCTACATCAAGCCAACGAGCTAGAAAACAAAATATGATAAACAGAACTTAATATTTAAATGAAGATACGATTTTCGCAGTTGTAATAGCAATTTAAGCAATTGCAAATAAACCCCAACAAAAAAACCGTTTTGAAACCATAGCCTCTTCGTTAGCGCTGCAGTACTCTCCCAACTGAGCTGTGAAGACCCACGCATTGTATACACGCAGTTCACATCGTCTTCCTTAATATACCGTACGAAAAACTGTGATATGTTAACCTCGTTTGGTTTGATCGATCTAAGTGGTTGATCCCCTGCACTTAAGTTGCATTTCAAACCCGAATTTTTGGACAATCGTTTAATAGCTTTCTATTTAAGTTGTTGTTTAGATTGGGTTTCGTATATGAAATCATAAAATTTAGCGTAAAACAGAATTGCGCATTCCTACCAGTAAGGAAGAACCATTTTTCTCCAGTCTGACAGTCGCGAAGCATAGCCCTTTTCAGGAACCAGGCCGGATTTTTGCCACTGTTATCATGCCAAACTCTTAGTCCACGGATGGCACCAAGAGAACTCGGCAAGTACAGGACGAAAACGTTCAAATCTCCTCTACGGAACAGCAGTCGCCTGGCGTCAATCAAGTAACACGGCCCACTGCTGCCACTTTTCCCAAAGATCTCACAACCTACATTGGCGGTTGTACCGGAATTGTTACGACTTCCGGTGACAAAGTAGATTTCGTAGCGGTAATCGCCGTTATGGTGAGATGGAACGACAGTGGTGCCAATCTGTTAAAATGTAAATGGTAGCGAACAAGGATTTTAGGTGTTTGCAGCAAGCCAGGCCCGTTAAAGCCTGAAAACCGAGGTAAGTGCCTGAACGCAAAAATGTCTTTAGAACTATCTTTGGGAGGTAGCCTGTTCCAAGCGTTTAGATTGTGAGGACAGCGCAAAGAGAAATGATCGGGAAAAAAAGCGAGGGGATTCATTTCCCACTTTTTGACTTACTGTCACACTCCAATACCTGAACTACTGGAACTAGGGAGGAAAATACATCGCCGAAAATACAACCTTTCCCACGTAAACAATGGGCATGATCACAATGAACTGATGTAAAAGGTAATTTTTTTTTTTTACTCTTTTTGTCCAAGGCCTAATCCACTCTTCACCAAAATGGCCCTTTTAAATAGAGGAAATAGAAAGGAGTTTTTCAAATTCGCCGGCCAGATAATTCCTTTTGGATGGCAACAAACATGACAAATGAGGCGGTAGCTCAAGTAGTTATGTCTCAAAAGTTTCCAATTTTCCCTTTTCGTCCTTTTTGAAATTTTTTTTTTATGGACGATGAAAGTATTGTGTCCACAAGCCCTAATCCTCCGACCTAAACTCAAGCAATTCTGTTTATACATGAAGCCATTAGGAAATCAATTATGTCTAATATGAATTACGTAAGTTCCGAGTTTTCTTGCATTTCTGGAGATAAGTGCTGAGGTAAAAGATTTGAAAACGATACCGGGAAACGATAGTGTGATTTATCAGTAGTGGCGTTCCAACCTGCATATAATCCAGTCTGTCTCGTCTCCAAGCCCATACGGCTAACAAGGCATACACGACTAGCAAAGTCAGAATAGTGAAAAGCACAACCACATTTCCAGTTTGAAAGGCTTCTTTGAAACCCGCAAATACTTTACTGAAGTCTAGAGGATTAGGCGCGACCAGCATTCCAGACCCAAATGTTGTTAAATGATTGGTAAGGCAGTGAATTTGTTTGGAGCTCGTAAGGGGTCCAACCTACAAACAGTAAAGAAGCGACATGTTTTTGTCTTCACATTAAAAAAGTTCGTTCAATGTATATCTCAACAGAAGGAAAAGTCGAGAAATGAGATTTTTCATAAACACACATGTTTGGCCATAACTTTGAATATTCTTTAGGCAAATAAAGGCTTCTTCTTCAGAAAGTACTTTCAAACCACAATTTACAAACTTTACTTAGTTATTGCCCTTCTCCCCCTCTATATAAAGGATGGATTACGCACTATAAGACATTCACCGTGATCTCTATCAATGAGCTTTATACTAAATTTTTCACTTAAAAAAAATTGCAATTTGTACTTCGTCACAAAGTTTTGCTTAAACTCGTCGTTTATGCCAGATTCATTTATCGTTAGGTTTAGCGATACTCTTCGAGCATTTTTCTCACTTGCTAGTTGTAACTGTATTAAGTGCATAACTTTATCTGACCGTTAGCTTTGTTATTTTGTTTGCTTTTTTGTCATTTTTCATGCGTTATTTAGCAATCGTGTTGAAATGAAATACTCCGGGGAAGGAGTATTTAAAAACACTCACAGCATGTTCTTATTACTGGTTTAATGTTCTTTAATGTTCTAATGTGCGCTGGAGTTTCCAACCGGTGTTTTAAACATTACACAACAATAACACTATTAGAAAGAAAATAAGAAACAACTAGACGGCACTTACAATGCATCCGTCTCCCATCCATGCTTCCTGTTGTTGATTCCAGTAAAGACATTTTGCTTTATATACTCTTATAGAATATTTCATCACAAGAGTCTCGTTGGAGTTCATCGTCGAAATCCCTTCCTTTCCGCCTTCGTATAGTACACCTATGATGTAAGAGGTTTCTCGTAACTCCATATTTGACAAGAAGAGTGTGTATGCACCATACTCCTGAAAGCAACCTGTGTAGTTAGTGTCTGCGCGACCTCCACTTGAAGATTTCCAGGTCTGTTTTCTCCAAGAATATTTCTCCTTAGTGGGTTTCGTATTCTCTCGCACGAAGATCTGAAGTTTGTGGCTACAGTTAAAAGGGGTGATTTCGATGCTGACTGATTCGTCTTTCGAAGTAATTACAAGCTTGTGATACACCCACGTAACTTCTTCCCTCACACTTACATTAAACACTTGTGATTCAGGCAGGTTTGCACGGACCGGTAAAAAGTATTCAATCAGCTTGTTGAGATTTGAAACTGTTATAGGTCTTTCGTTGCTCTTGTCCTGGTATGACAAACTCACGACAGGACTACTTATGTCTCGGGATGAGTTGTTGTAGGTATAGTAGTTTTGCGTCATTGAAAATACCTGGAAAGAGAAATGCACCCAGCGAAACTAATGATGTGCGAAATACCATTTTACCTATCGCAAAAATTATATTTAAAACCTTTTAAGGTTTTAAATAAATTTTTAAAAGGTAAGGCGATGCAAGTAATCTCGTCTTTTTGGTAGAATATTGCCTCGTAAGCCACGAGAATGACGGAAGAGAAAATTTGCATAATTTTGAATTAAGTCGCGTGTTCCTTTTGATCGCTTTATTAAAATTGTGGGAGTTGGTTTATCCTGGTGCATTAAGTATAAAATTTGAGCCGCAAGAAAGGAAATTCTTCTCTTTAGTGACAATCCGGGTCGAAATTGTAAATTTGCTTAAGTTTTTTAGTAGAGGATAACAGACAAACCAAAAGGCGACAAAAATTCTTCCTTCTGTATTTTGCGCAAATCCTCAATTGTCTAGCAACCTAGATTCGTCATCGTCATTATCGTCATCATTAATCATCATCATCATCAGAAACAACAGCATCAACGTCATAATCGTCGTCGTCATCATCATCGTTATTCTTCGGTTGCCAAGCAGGTGACTAACGCTACTTACCTTTTGATTGACAGATGTCAGTCCCAGCATTCCTTTACGGAACATGTTGCTTCCTCCCGGCAATTTGAAATTTGCGAAACCTACGCGCACTTCACCGCCACCATCAGAAACTGTGAAACTTTTCAAGTTGACTGTGAGTCTCGGGGTTGAAAACTCTGATGCTTCTTCAAATGAAACCTTACTTCTAAGCAGTGATGTGGTCAGAGAGTCTAGAGCGTTGATTAAACGTTTCACCATTGCTTTACCCTAGAAAAAACAGTGATTCAAATGGTCTAATGTATTGCAATCAACTTAGTGAGAAGCTAAGCAGCCACGTTAAAGACCTTTAAGACCATTCCCAGGCTTGAGGGCAACAAAACAAAAGGGAGTATCGAATAGCTTTACTAACCAGTTCATTTCCTTTTCCACTGAACCGGCTCGCGAAATAGACTTTGTCATTCTAGGTATGTATTATGGAGGAACTACCACTGAAATTGTCATAGGTAAGTATTTCATCTTCAAAATGAAACGTTGTAATCGCCGAGTACAGGATAACATTATGGACGCCAATGCTCAGTGCCTTAACTGAGGGTTATTTAAAGAATCAACAGCCAGCACCAACGTAATATCTTCAAGTTACTACCTTAACTAACAGCATTCGTTTTACGCATCCTGGCGGCCTTGTTTAATATCCTATATTCCTACGCTGTTTAACGTGGAGTACCTTTGAAAACAGCTCAAAAGCATTTAAGAACAATTCACAATATTATGTTACGAATTATTGAAATGAACACAAAGTACTTTAGCTTGCTTGTTCTCAGTCGCACTTTGCTTTTCCACGCCCTGATTGGTGATGTTAGCTTTATTGACAGCTGATGCGGCGCCCAGTAAGTTTCCAAGTGCACCACACATAGTTGACGCAAGAGACTCCAATGAGCCAGACGAAGTTTCTTTTGATTCACGGTCCACAAAAGCAGCAATGCTTGTTAAAGCAGATGTACTGGCCTCCTGGAAAAGAAAGATAACCAGACAGATATGTAAAGGTATTATTTGTAAGTATTCTTTAAGTATGTGTGTTGTTTTATGTCGGGCGCTTGCTCATTCCTTTTATTTATTGACTGGTAATTGCGGCAATCTGTCAACTTCGTTCAGTTAAGGGTTTTGCCTTGGCTTCACTGTAGATATCAATACTAATTCGGTGAATTTGCATAAAAACATGTGCGTTTACTGACGATTTTCATGTGGCCTCGTCACAATCTGTAGCGAAGTCCTACGCGGAACACTACCTTTATCATTGCCTATCAGTAGTCGGTATAAAAAACGAAATAAATCTCTTTCTCGTATAGACAGGCGTAGTCACAAACATTTCTATGCGTTAATAAACAACATGTAAGTTCACCATTTTGCCCATTGCCCATTTTGAACCTTGTTTACTCCTGTGCATGAGAATTATCTTCAATTTCCCTTGGGAATACTGTAATACCCAGGAACAATCGCAAAATTGGGGGGGGGGGGTGTTAAAAAAGGGGTATCATGAGCAAAGTGAAAAGGGTGATTAGGCTTTTATAGACCTTGTCCTAGAGGGAGATGTCAAGTTTTTTCGATATCCCACATTTCTAAAACATTCTACTCCGTTCTGTTCGCACCGTGTTGGGGGGGGGGGGGGGGATGATAAACAAGGTGTATCATGAGCAAAGTGAAAATGGTCATTAGGCTTGTATCGACCTTGCCTTAGAGGAAGATGTCAAGTTATTTCGATCTACCATATTTCTAAAACATTCTACTCCGTTCAGTTCGAACTGTGTGATTAATCAAGAAATTATGCCTTTTGTAGAAACCCTTCATGAGACAGACTAATTAGAAGTCAGAGTTCTTTACCTGTGCATCCAGCGATATTTCCCTGGTAACCTGTGTGGCCTGATACAGGGACCCTGAAATAAGCTTGGCAGAATGCTGAGAGGTAGGTCTTTCGTAAGTGATTGCCAATATCAAAGAGCTTCGCACCTTTTACGTTACAGAAGCAATAGAAAACGAAATAAAAAAGCACTGTCAAATACTTGCTTTAAACAGTGCGGACACATGTGTTCAGCTCTACATAAAATAAAGCAATTTAGATTATTCTAACGCAGGTTGTGTGAGGGTTATCAGACTCCTTCTATAAAAACATTTCGAAACTGTTCATCTATTGATTGAATGATTGACTGGGACTCTCAAAACTAGGGAAAAGGAATAAACAGATTTTGGAGAAAAAGCCAGTTTAGAAATATAGTGGACTCCGAGGGTGGAATTGAATGAAAGTATGATTCATATAATTTCACAGGGGACAGGGCCTGAAGACATACTCTTAAGGGTCACCTATAGTTCATGGCTGTTTCCTTCGCTTTAACAAAATAGCGTCTAGTTATCCACAATATTTTAACGGTAGTTCATATCTAATGGTAGTGATTACGAATTTCTCTACCTTTCGTTTTTCTGCAAGGTGAACAGCTTCTCCTCCATAGCCGAGTTTTGTTTGATGATTTAAAACTGAACAAATGCTCACAATCATTAATGCGACCTCTTGGCTATTTCCAGATTTCACTGAGGCCGCTAAGGAACTGCCCTGTCCACTTGTAAGATTTGATAGCTGACTCAGCAGCTCAGTACCCTTGACTAGGGAAGGTAAGGACTAGGAAGAAAAATTAAATAATCACATAATGAATCACAAAATTAAGAGTGGCTTCCTCATGGTCTCCTAAGCTATCGTAGTGATCCTAGCGGTTTGCTGGACCTTTTTTTTTTCAATATTATCGATTACTTAGCTACCAGCCGCGATACAAGTGGTAGCTAGTGGTAAAGGGGGTACTCGTCATTTGTGGTATTAGCATAAAGGCCGATTATTTATCATAATGCCCAATATCCACGTACAAATTCTCCACACCGATTTCCTTAATTTCCCTTAAAGAATTTAGAAAATTTGGAAAATGATCAAAGCACTTTCTCTTAGTTGATTATCGTATCACTCATAACTGGTTCTCTTGAAAATGCATCGTTGTTGTTGGGAGAACACTGATATTGGTTTCTCGTGGGTCTTGAGTCAGAAACTGAGACCGCGATTGAAGGCATTACTGGGCCTTCGATGAAATAGATAATCGGTTTTCTACTCGGGGCGAATTTATTGCAGCGTACAATGCCGGTTTGTTAAAAATACAGTTTAAAACCGGGCGAAACAATGAAATCTGGTTAAACTGGCTTTAAACCACTGAAGTACTGAATAGAATTCTAATTCTGATTTTAATTGTGTAATCTGCAATCTATTTTAATTGCGTAGTCTGCAAACGTAAAAATTTTAAACTTCCCAATTGAACCAATTAGGTGAATTCAAAGAAGGATTAACAGATGATTTCGCTAAAAGAAGCAAACATATAGTTGTAAGGAAAAAAAGTGTTTGGTACCTTAATTTGGAGATTAACGGTCGTTGCAGCGCCTAGTCTATCAAAAACACGAACATCAATCTCTAACGTGTAATTATTGTCCTCATTTCCCAGAGGAAGTAAAAGCGAGGTATTTGCTTCTCTTCCGTAATACAAGAGAAATTCCTCAGACTGTTGGGCGTTTACGATCTCGTAATGAAAAGGTCCATCGGGATCACTCCATCCCCAACACCAGAACCAGTAGCGCGTACTGAACACGTGACCAACACGTGGTTCGACGTCACAGGTACCACCCGTGGGTGCAGCATTTGTTAGGAAAGTGTAAGCAGCTCTACCGTAATTACCATCAGGCAACGTTGCAGTGATAACCAACTTATAATCTCTACTTCCTTGAAAGCTATATTTCTTTATCACAATGTTTGGATAAGCACTTGATGTGGCGTTTTTCAGGGCTGGTAGTGTCATATTATCACGCCGCCATGTTGTTTCTCCATTTTCGCGGCCTTCCAAGACGAACAAAGACCAGGAATACATAATCTGGGTTACACACCCTATTCCTTTGCACTGAGTTGATAGGGAGAGTTTATCTGAGGGGTTCATTTTGCTTCCACAGTTAACCTCGCACCTTGAAAAAGCAAAGAACAAAAAGAAAAGAAAAACAGACATCTTTTTCTCTGTCGCATTTATCAAAACTATTCTATTTCGCATAATATGTTCGGCTATGTATATTGTAGATCAACTTCAGCGTTGGTTCAAATCTTAGTTTCCTTTGGTTTAAACTCATTACAGTGGAACCTCGATATAACGAACCTCTATATAACGAAGTCCTTGGTATAACGAACGATTTTCTTTATGTACGGCAACTATATGAAAGGGAACCTCGATATAACGAAACCTCGTTATAGCGAACATATTTTGCCAGTCCCATGAGCCTTCGTTATATCGAGGTTCCACTCTAGCATCCATTACCGTCCCCGCCACCCCCCACAAAAAAAAAAAAAAAAACAAAAAAATTAGGACACCAGATAAAAAAATTCAATAATTATAAAGTCTAAACAATAAAAAAAAAAAAAAAAAAACTCCCATAAACACACAACCAAAAAACAAACACATACACCAAGACCAACAATAATATAAAAAACACATCTATTTTCCATGAACCCTAGTTATATCAAGGTTCCAACAAAGTCTCCAATTCCCGACCCCCCCCCCCCAAAAAAAAAAAAGAAAAGTAAATTAAGATTGACCCCACGACATAGACTTCGAATTTTAGATCTGTTTCTGTAATAGAAAGTCCGGAATCAACCGTGTATCTAGTCACAAACACAATTCTACCGAATTGAATCTGGTTAAAAATTATTTAAAAGGAAATCTCGTCTCCATCATCAAAGACGTCGCTACCAATCAAACACCACCAAAGAGATTCTAAACAGGATGGTGTAAGACAATATGCTTTCCCGTATATTTAACTCCGGGGGAGGAACATTGCCATATTTGGCCATAACGGGTATGTTCCGTTGAACGGGGTATGGAACGGGGGTATGGTTTTTAAACAGGGCATACAATTAAATTATTTACCGTTTTAAACAGGGTGTCTGTTTGGACAGGAAGCCTTTAAAGGGCGTGTAAAGGTTGGCTAGTAGCTGTCTACATGGGTGGCACTTTAATACAATTTGTTTCCAATCAATATCCAATCGTAGTATAAGCAAACTCTATATTCTGTATGCGAAACGAAATGAATCAGGGCCCAGTGATTCGAATACGATCGATTAACGCCAACCGGAGGTTAAATTTTTATCCGGGTTTCTTTTTCTTTTGTTCGAAAGCATTTTCTCGAATGATTTTCTCTATCCGTTTTATAGCATCCAATAGTCACCTCGTAGACGAAAAGAATTAAACTGAATTTTGCTTTTTCAGCTTTCATCTCTGAATTCAAATGTCGCACCGACCATGGGTTATCTTAACCCAGCTTTGAACAACCCGGCCCTGGGTAATTAAATGGGGTCTCTTGTCTTAAACACGGTCAGGGTTTGAAGGCCTCGGCAGCACAACTCTACCCAAATGTACCTCAGTGCTCTCCCACGGGTAATGATCTTACCTTATGGTGAGCGTCGGAAGATTTTCAGGACCAATTTCGAGTTTCTGAGTAGCCGAGCTTGTCCTTTTCCCCTTTGTTACTACCATTTCGATCACGTAGGTCTCATTTTGCACCATTTGACTTGTGGTTAATTCAAGAGAGGCCGTTTTAGAAAGAAGATACTGCCCGTCTCTGTAACATCCTTGATCAGGGTTGGGAGGCAATGCAGTTAACTCTTCCGATGAAACATTAACCACACCATTGATCGCTTCTGTTATAATTTTCGGAAAACTTTCGGTAGTATTTCTACAAAACCAGGTGAACTCTATTCCTGGAAAACCATAAAAAAAGGAACATGAAATTGAGCTTATCCGTTCACCGGTTTGGATTATAAAAGACTAAATTTTTATAGTAAGCCTTAGGCTCGATTTTCGGTCCTCCCCGAGGGGAAAGGATCTTTTCGGAAGGAGCGCGGGCTGATTTCCCTAACATGCCAGTGGCTGGTAGTCTATGCGGCCGGAAATGTAGGACGTTAACGTCGGTGATTTACGAGATGGAGTGAGAACTTACTTAAATTCAGATAATCCAAATAAACAAAAGGCTATGACTTGCTGCTAGTGCGATATAAAAAGAAAAGACTGAAAAATGATTGAACGGATAAAGACAAATTATATTTGCCTTGTCTAAAAAAGGAGAGCTTGAAAGCAAAACGAATCGCTTGAATCAAAACATTCAGCATTTTAATATTTATCTTATTTTTGTACATTTATTAAATAATATGGTTGCCTAGTTCAAATTAGAACTATTGTTTTGTTGAGGTTAATAGTTATAAGTATGGGTTTGGCCCCTTTCATTGTATTATTAATAAATGTTTCATGCGAAAGCAAAAAGATCTGAATACCTGCAATAGTGCCTGGTCCAACATCCGGGTCATATGAGCCTAGGCCATCAATGGATAGCTTAGATCCAAACCCCCTTCTAATCTCACTTCCTCCAGTGATCTTTGCAATCAACGGGGACTGGACTACCCTGATGTAACCGTCATCAACAGTGGCGAAATCTTTTAATTCTTCTTCAACCATTCCAACTTTTAAACGTACTTTAAACAATCCCAAAGGCAATGCCCTCCTTCTTAATTGTAACTCTCGCAGAGAAACTTCTTTGTTTGAATTAAAATCATGAAAGTATTCGAAGGTCCCCGTCCTTGGATCATTTTGTAAGATCTCCCATTCATATTTGGATTCCTTGGATTCGGGGCAAAACACATCCACATCTGCCTCGATGGCGATACCTTCGGCTCTTAAAAAGTGTTTTGCATCGTTTGGAATGTCACCAGCGTCCTTTAATTTTACCTTAGGTTTCCTACAAGGTCTTGCGAGAATCTCAACTTCGCAGGATGTCGATACTCTTGAAACTGCATTGCCAAGGCTTGCATTGATGATGTAAATTCCTTGAGAGTTAAAAACCTTCCTTAATATGATATCTTTCTCAAGCTCACCCCTGTATTGCACTCTTTTGGGAAGATCGCCCTTTTCCAATTCATTGCAACCGCCAACATGTCCATAGCAGTAGCTTGTGCTGTTGTCTAACTCAATTAGAAGGGTCGAGTTGGTTCCAATAATTTTGATGTTTGTTTGGATGGTAACGATTTCTCCCATTACCCTTGGAGAAGAGCATTTCAGTAAACCACCATGTGAGACACAGGGACGTCTTTGGACAGCAATCACTGCGCCAGCAGCCACTTGGCTCACTCGATTTTTAACAAGTACCGATATTGTATATATTCCAGGTGTGTTAAAAGTACGCGCAATGATTTGGTTGGTCGAATGTTCCTTAACATTATTTATAGACCACCTGTTGTCCAGACTTGAACCGTTTCCAACGGTGGAATTGAAGACAACTGGCATTCCAACTTCAAAGATATTCATGTCGCTGCCATAACCAACATGGTGAGAGTTATCTTTTAAATAGGTCACGTTTATATTAACGTTAGATATAGGGATCTCTACGTAAAGGATTTGTGTATAAAGAAATGACGGAGTGACCAAATTCTTTGCGGTTACTGTTATGTTGTACTGCCCTGCTTTCTTATAAATATCTGAAGTCACTATGCACAAATGGTAGAAGTTGTGATTTTCAATATAAAGGTCTTTCCTTTCAAAACGAACTCTGAACGTTACATTTGTACCATCTGCTGTCATGTTTATAACGAACGTTTTGCCAAGAATCACAGGTTTAATAGGCAAAACCTGGAAAAATGTAATTTCCTTCTGAACTGTGGTATATCCCGAGGCTCTCACTTCACTCCAACGATTTCGGCATGCAGCATTGACTTCATAAATACCCACCTCCTCAAAAACGTGTTTTGCACAAATGCTAATATTAGTGAATTTTTTGACACTCAAATTTGAATCTTTGAAGTAAAACAGTTCATCCTCTAGATTTTGTGAAAGTTCGTGGCCATCACCAAACTGCCAATGGCACGAGAAATCCGACCCTTTCGTGATAAACATAGTAATGTTGACATGATCATTGACTTTAACAATGAGATTGGGTATAACGGCCCCCTCTAACATTATCACTGGCTTATGGACCTTTATGAGAATGCTGGTATTAAATCGGGAAACTTTGTTAGCAACTGTGATGTTAACAGTGTAAAGCCCATGATAACTGTAAGAGTGATTGACAAAGGTTTCACGGGTATGCACCACTTTTCTGTTGTCTCCAAAACTGACCATATATGAAGCATTTATATTGGGTCCCGAGTTCACTTCTGTCAACCAAACTGAAATTGTCTCATTGATCTCTATATCTCTGCTCTGATGAATTAGAACGGGCACAAACGGAGAAACCTCTCGAAGAATGGCGCATTTAAGAGATGTGGAAATCCATTTCGTCACGGCATTTGAGGCAGCGACATGGGCATAAAATATTCCAGGAGTTTTGTACTCGTTTTGTGTTACCAATGCATGTCCATGCGTCTCATTTTTTGACTTAACAGCTTCGAGAGTAACTTCTGAAAAGTTTGCTTTGTATAAAACACCAGTCCCATCGTTAATTTGCCATCTCACCATAAACTGTGTTCCAAACAATATAGGAGGAATTGGAATTATTGTTAGCCCCATTATAACTTTTTGGACCTGTACGGTTTCAGAAACGGATAGCTCGCTTCTTCTGTTTTTGCAAGTGACTATTGCTGTGTAAGTCACAGAAGCTGAGTAGGTGTGTCTCAAAACAATTTCTCCTGGAAAATTGCTTGATGTTGTTTTATTCGCAGTATCACCCAGCCGCCACAAGCACTCAAAATCTGTTCCTTGTTCAACAAGTAGTGTTATTTGGGTGGTCTCCCCAAACACTGTCGGGTTGCTATGAAGAGATACGTTGTTTAAAATGCGAACTGGTTTCGGCACTGAAATGTTGGCGTTGCCAGTTAATATGCTAGTATTGCACAAGGTCCAAGCCACTACATGCAAGGAATAGTACCCTATATAGCTGTACATGTGAAAAGCCGTTTCAAGGAAACTCTCTTGAACATCGGTGCCATCACCAAAGTCAAATCGGAAGAATGGTTTAGTGACGTTTTTGTTTGTAATTGCGCTAACTGCCAGCAATGTTTCATTTGCTTCTGCCACATGCACTGGTGACGTAAGGTTGAGAGAAAGAAAAAGTAGAGGAACCACTGAAATCAAATGCAATATATTAGTCCCTTTGAATACCTTCCTCCAATAAGAAACTTCCATTGTATAAAAGACATTGAATTAACATTGCTAAATCCCAATCAGCTGCTTCTACTGGCTGTTCTCTGACATTCTTACAGTAATAAATAAAAGAGGGAAGATTAACGGTTATTCACGATTTTAGCGGCTACGATTCCTTTACGTAGAATATAATTAGGCACGTTTTGGTAAGTCTATTGGAGTGGTTGACGAGGTATCTGCATTGAAAAAGAAGTCCATACATAGTCCGGTTATAGTGTTCCACAACGTGGGTTCCATAATCTGGCCACTGAAATCACGAACTCACTGCTAGGGGTATTAACCCTAAAATGTTCGTGGTTTATCTAATTTCCTCAACAGAGTAATTAATAATGATCTGGAAAGAAATACTCGAAGCCCAATTAACTTGATCCCTCGAGAAGCGAAATAAGTGCTTTCATCTTTCTGTTCATTTCTCAGTGTGGTGTAGGTAAAATCCGTCCTAAGAAATTTCCTTCGTGTCTTATGAGCAATTCTGAATTAAACAAGAATTAATACAGGTTTCAGTAACCTGAACTGATTATATCTACAACATCTTCACCTTTACAAACCTTGTTTGCAAGCGTCTTTTCCTTCAAAAACTTCCCTTGGTTCAAGTGCCTTGGAATAGAACTGCAAACATGCAACTTCTCCATTGAAGGAACCTAAGGAAGAAATGGCTACCGCTCCAATCCGAATCTCGTAACGTGTGGCGAGATACAGATTCTTGCCAATAAGCCTTCTCTGGACTACCAAACCATCATGGTAAAGGGTGGCATAACCTGTTACGTGATCATACGAGGCGCCAACGAAATTCCATTGCCCTAAGTTAAGCACTTCAGCTCTCAACCGCGTGGTTGTATCCAGGTTTCGTTTGTTGAACCGTGCCATGAGCTCTCCTTTTTCACCTGCATTCCCCTGGACCCAAAGCTGCACACCATGGCCGATAGCATTATAATGTACAAGGGGCCCAGGTAGGTTTCGAGTCGGGTTAATGTAAAGCAAAATAGTCATTGATTGTTCAAATTGTACTTGCTTGTTTGATTCAATCTCGATGTAGGAGTTTTGATTCCCTTCGAGTCGTACTGCACCGCCGGGTTCACCTTCGATCCCGGGGACAAAGTGGGTGTTCGAGAAATGAGCGTGCAAACTTCCTTGGATAATCTCCTGGTAGGTGTTGTAGTACTCATTGAATGGGAAAAGCGCCGCTGGCTTTGTTGTGAAATTGCAGTATTGAAGAACTGGAATTAAAAATAAAATCTAAGTCATTAAAACCTTTTGAAACCTTCCCTTGGAAGAATCTTTTCTCAATACTTACATTTTGATCATAGACCCATTTGAAAGAAGGGATTTATTTTAAAACATTTTCTGCAATCTTCTAAGCGTATAATCAGTGAGAACGGGCAAGCCTGGTGATACTTCCTCTTTTGGCCAAGATTAACAACTCAATAAATAAAATGTATAACCTTTAGTACAAAGTGGCAAGGATGGCCGCACTTTTTTATTTATATTTGCCATAAACCGGACACCACGTGTCTGAAATGGGTAAGCCTTAAAGAATGCTGGCCTCTTATGTCAGGTGAGATGAATGCAGTTCGCAAACCAACACTCCAATGTCCTTTATCTTCCTGAACTGAATAAAAGGTGGATTTTACACTGGTCATAAACGTGTCCGTAAAAGAAAATATGTGAGTCAAAAGTATTGAAAAAAAAGACGCTAATAGAGTATTCGATATAACTCTTCATGTTTTGTAAAGAATGCAAATGAAATCGTCTGCCCTTGTTTGGTCAAGTCTCGCAAAGTTTGCCTTGCATTTTTAGAGCTTTTAAATTATTATCGGGTCATTTTGTACCTGTCAATGCGTAGTTTGCACATAGGCAAGCCTTCAGAGCTCGCTGCCAGCCGGGGCTAAAGCTAGGCACTTTACACCGGAGGATATTTGTCCGAATTCATAAATGTTTCCTGTTTTTTTTACTTTTCGCTGATTCGGAGACACACTTCAATTAATCCAAGAACATTCTGATTCGGAGACAAAATTTTCATTTAAGGTACCAGATTCAAAATCTCCGGGAATGCGTTCACACTGAAGCTCACTGACAATTATTTCGTTACGAATCGGGTAAAATCTCCCCTACTGTAAATGTAGACAGAGGTAGAAAACTCTTCCTATATATTACGTAATTAGAAATATAATCTGTACAGTCAGTTAACCTTTTTGCGACAATCAATAACACTTTTTCTGTCACTAGTTAAATTAGACTATCTTCACAGTGCCGAAAAATAACCTTTTTAACTAATCTTATTAATTTTTTGGGTCACTTTTGTTCTAAATTTAAGTGTTTCATTCACTAAAGACGTCTTTGAGAATACATTAAACAGTAATGGTTTGCCTTTTTGGTAAATAAGGTGCTAAGCAGTCACAACTTGTGCTTGAAATGGTTCGAAAATGCGTTTTAATTTACCTCGAGTTCGATGACAAACAGCTCCTTGCAGTGTCAAAACCTGCAACAAAATCTACAGTGAAACAATAAATGATAAATTTGCACTATCCGTAAACCGTGCAGCGCATCGATCCAAGTAAAAGCATTGGATACATACCTGAAAAACAAACGCCAGTGAGAACAGCAAGCCAATGTGTTTTTCGTGCTTCCTTCCCATGTTAATCGTCGAAAAGTAGATTTGGGTCAAACAAGGCCAAGTATTTGTCGCATGAGGTTATTTTAAATGGCTTTCAAATTGCTGTGGCTTAACCAGCTTTAAAGTAGCTATGGTTGTTTTTCTATTTTCACCGACTTATAAAACAGGTGTTATTGTGATAAAGAATGTCTGCGGTTACGTCCCTTGTCAAACCGCAAAAAAACACCCTATTAACAATTTATCTCTTTATCAGGTGAAGTGACGTCTAGTCGAGGTGAACACTGCTTGTCAGTGAGAGCCTTGTCAGATAAATCTTACCCCTAGCTGTGTCACAAGCACTCATTTCTAAGCATTTCTTGAATTTATTTTCAGCAAAAAACGACCGCACTGGTTAGCGGCACATAGTCACTAGATCAATCTTGGGAAATGTTTTTTTCATTTCAGAAGACTTGGTACAGTCACCAATACAGATTTCTAGGACTAATTATACAGTCTCTTTAATGAGTTACCTTTTTATATTCTAAAAGACAAAGAACTGTCATTTTTTTTTGTACACAGCTAGGATTACAAAAGGAGCAACAAGGGATTTGATACCTTAAAAATCCAAGTCACTGAACGGTGTTACTTCGAAAGCACTTTCAAACACTTAAAGCTGTACTCTTTTACCACTTAATTTTAAGCACTTTACAAAACTCGCATTTGGCAGCTTAGTAAATCTGAAAGTTTCAGGTAAATCTGTCACGTATATTTTCAGCTGAGACAAAACACATTAAAGAAAGGCAAAATAGACAAAACAGTAAACCCTATTCACAACCTTGTAGTTCTTAACCTTTTAAGTCTTAAGAGTGACCAACATCAATTTTCTCTAAGCAATATCCATACATCATCAAGAGAAAAGGTTAGGAGAATTACTAAAATGATCACCGAAGAAAGAATGTTTTGATCTTGTTTCAAATTCTCACAACTATTCTTTCAGAGGAAATGTATGCAAGTCTTTCTGGACAATTTGTATGTGAATATTGGTGCTTAACCTTTGAAGTCACAAGAGTGACCAACATCAATTTTCTCTTAACAATATCCATACATCACCAAGAGAAAAGGTTAGGAGAAGTTTTTTTTAGTTATGATCTCCTCTAATGTGGTGGTTTATTTTTGCAAACAATTTTGGCGGTTTTTCGACATTATTCGGTGAATCTTGGAAATAAAAGGACCGTGCAGTAAATTTTCCTCCTTAGATTTCATTCCCTGTTTTTCAAGATTCTTCGAGACGCCTGTGAGTCCGTTCAATCCTATATGTATGTTGTAGGAAGCAATAATCATTTAATATATAATTATAACTCTAGTCTCAGTCATAAAGGTGTCACTAAAATTATAGCGTTGAAACTTTGGGCTGCATCTTGTAGTCTTCAATATGTGAGTTGCAGTTGAAAGCTTAAGGGCTATAATTTGTTTCGACCTTGAGACTATTACGAAGGTATTCATTTCCATGGTCGGGAATGATTCCTAGTGAAGTATTGATTGCAGCTGCGCTATTACTTTATTTTATTTTTTGCTTTTTGTATAGCATGTCACTCATTATTTCCATTCCCCCAATAAACTCATCACTTGTTTGTTTTACCTGTCCTTGAATTGTTTTCTTAGTCACCAAAATATGTCTTTTAGTTCAGCGCAAGCTTCCACAGTTGTGAAATCAAAATATCTGCTGCCTATTCTATTTTTAAATCCAATGTTTAAGCAATAAAGTTGCAGTAAAACTATTGTAAAACAGTAGATGTGAAAAAGAAATTTTCTTTAGAAAGGTGCAATTTTTTGTCAAAAATTACATATGTATTCAACAATATGAATTACTAAACATTATTGTTGGCCGATATATTATCGAACTGTGCGGGATTGCGTGTTTCTGTAATCTATTTTAGACTTCGAATATAATAACAAATCTTTTGCCAAATATTATTACTGAATTGCTTTCATAAATTGCATGCAAAGTTGAAATTTGTGAGCCCCCTTCACCCTTTCTTGATTCTTGATTTTTTTTTTTTTTATTCCTCTCCATAAAATAACATGCTGTGTTTCCGTCAACCGTTGAACATTTTAATAACCAAAAGTTTAAACTACCCTGAAATTATACGCCAAGTGTTATTCACTGAAAGTGCACTGAAGACCATAAGTGGGGATTTAAATTTGGGCAAACCTCCAATTTTCAGGGGAAAAGAGCTAAAACACCCCTTGTTCTGTGTTCTATCTTCAAGGCCTAGTTGATAACGCAGTTAGTTTGCCTAATACTTATCTGTTGGATAGTGATTTATCCGGTGGATTGCGTGCTATCCGACGTTTGAACAACCCGGGTCAGGTCTTTTAATTGGCATGTATGCAGGTACAGTTTGTTTAGTTCTTGCTTATAGAGGTGGTAACATGCCATGCCTGTGCGCATAATATCTAGTAATAAACTTAATCTGATACTTTACTGGCAAGGGCTCAGGTACAACATGAGGAAGCTTAAGCAACGACGACAGCGACGCCAAGGAGAACGGTGAAAAAGCAGCAGGTTTAGATTAGCAAATCAACAACTCTGCACGTACATCACGCTTTTTTGTCCATTTTTTTGCGGCAGTTGCACGACTACATCGTGAAACTTCGTAGTTTCTTTTTCTTTTAGTGAACTTTTATACAGTCTTTCAGAATTCAACTCCAGAAAAATTTGCCACAATTTGATGAATTGAGGAGGATGGAATAAGCTCGACATAGTTTGAAATTTTTAAGTGACGTTTTCGAAGCCGTCAATTATTTCGGCTGACGCAAATAATTGATCTTCGAGACACTGGCAAATCACAGTATTTTGCGTTAACCGAGTTCAATAATTGTTTTGTCATTAGATCCCCGAGTTTGTTTTTTCATTAAGAAACTCATGGATTGGAAGCAATCAGCAATTTTCACGCAAGAGCGATCACAAGAAGGAAAAAAATCATATGGTTGTATTTACGCACGAGCAGAATATTAATGCGGCCAAACACAGTTGGCCGACATTGCGCATAAGCAGACCATAATTTGTAGGCAGTTATTTGCAAGTTGCGTGGTGCCTTCTTGTCCAATGAAACGGAAGAAAAATTTGCATCGAATGAGAACAAGTCTTTTCTGAGACAAACAGCACTAGCTTTTAAGACAATGTCTCTAATTTGCACTGGGAAATACTTGACCACAGTGATGCGATACGTTTACATACTGCACAGCTGCCGAATGAGCCTTCTTTTGCAATGTCAGTAAAGCTTCAGCTTGACAGTAACCCGTTAAAGTAAATCATTCCTGGCTGAGCTTTCCAGTGAAACCAGTGTAAATACAGAACTATATCGCGGCTCTTGTTCTTATTGGTTGGTGAATCGAAAAGGCAACTTGTTCCATATCAGCCTGAAGATAAACTTTTAAAACTCCGCAAGGCTCTCAAACCGTTCGGTGAAATTTCAAGCGAATCCAGAATAGACCTGGAAAATCATATGAGTTTCACAAACGGCAAAACTAGCCAAAACAGTAAAGGAAATTCCCAACTACTATGCTCCAATGGTATCACTATTATGCTCGGATATAAAACTGCTCGTTTGTCTGATTTTCCTCGCTCGATTGTTGAGACGACTCATCTGAGGAGGCAGCTGACAATGTTGTGGAACTGAAACTGCTCGAGGCCATGTTTTGCTAATGGGTAACCTGCCACTTTCTTAAAATGAGATACAAGGTCTTGCTGGTGGCGGACTCATATGGAAATTTTGCTTTTTTCGCAGGGTATTTATAACACACAATCACATATTTCCGGTGGTCGCTTCTCTCTGTGAAAAGACGACCGGAAATACGTCTGTGTTCGCTGTAAAGTTTTCGCATATAAGAAATGGCAGAATTAATTTTTTTTGATCACTGAGTTTTATACACCGAATTGAGATGACTTTGCTCACCGTATCTCAGGTAGCCAGGTCCTCTTCTGGTTTAGTCCGCTGACCTATTTTACAGTTTTTACGCATACTCTTACATCTTGCGCACAAGCGGTATGCTCAAGACAGGTATTTAAGGTCCGTCTTCAACAGCGATTTGTCTCTTCCTGGCAACCTCCGTATCCATCCTTTACAGAGAACACTGTTTCACACATTTTTATTTAAACGAATGATGTTCTGTCTTACCTTCAAATACTCGACCCCTACAAGTCTGCTGGACCTGACGGCATAGAAAAGAAATGTGCCAATCAACTTGCTCCTTCCTTATGTGTACTCTCCAATCTCAGCTTTGAATCAGGGTCTCTTCCTTAGGACTGGAAGTGCACTAACGCCACTACTGTATTCAAAAAAGGTGCTAACAGGTGCTATATAAATACTGACCGATTTCCTAATCGAGCGCCGACGGCGCAAGCTTTTAGGAGGTTCCGGGGGAATGCTCTCCTGTGAAGTAAAGCCCCCTTTCCTGGGTCCCTTTTTCTGAGTCGTTCAGACAGGATATTGGCTAGTTCCATTCTCCTCAGACGAAGCCTTGCAACCTGGAAAGATTTTTCTTTATTAAAAATGTTTATTATGAAACATCTGACCAATTTCCGTAAAACGGTGGAAAGCGGTGTGGATCCACGTCTGGCTAAATCTGACACCTCGAACTATCGTCCAAGATCGCTTTTATCTGTTTAATTTTTAGCAAGCTGTGTGAGCGATGTGCTCTTTAGAGTCTGCTACCAAAGTTAATCCATTTGCCATCATCTGGGAAACATGGCTTTACTCAAGGTACATCGTGTGTTACACAACCCCTGTCTGTACCCGGCTCACCACATTGGAGCATCGCTCGATGTTGGTGAAGAGCTTGATGTTATGTACGTGGATTTTAGTAAAGTCTTCGACTCTGTCCTTCATCGTAGACTGTTCACAAGTTGTTCTTATTCGGTACTGGGGATCCTCTGCACTCGTAGTTCAAAGACTACCTCACGTCAAGGTCTCAATGTGTACATGTCGATGGTGTGCTCTCCTAGTGGCCCCAGGTGATTTCTGGTTCCCACAAGGCAG